AGGGTTTGAGGTTGAGGGTTTGGGTTTAGGGAGGGGGGGCTGGGGGGGGTTGGCGGGGGTGCATTGGAGCCCTTAAAATGGGTGGGGGGGGTGGGGGAGGCGGGGGTGGAAAGAGGGGATGTGTTGGAGCCCTTAAAACTCAGGGGCGGGGCTGGGACTTGGGCGGTGGTAGGTTCAAGGGCATGGAAGGGCGGGTGGGTGGAGGGGGGGGGGGGCTGGGCCACAGGGGGTTGGCGGGGGTATTGGAGCCCTTAAAACTCAAAGGGGGGGGGCTCGGTGGAGCACTTAAAACTCAGCTTAGGTTCAAGGGCATGGAAGGGGGGGTGGGTGGAGGGGTGGGGGGGGGCTGGGCCACAGGGGGGGTGGGGGGTGGCGGGGTAGCGGGGTGGGGGGGTGGGGGGTTGGGGGGGGGTTGGGGGGGGTGGGGCAAGCGGAGCAAGAGAGGATTGGAGCCCTTTAAATCATCTGATCAGGGGACCATGAGCCACTAGGGGCCAGCAAACGAAGCGGGCATGCTTTAATGGGGCCAGTCCATGGGGGGGGGTGGGGTAGGGGAGCATTGGGTCTTCACTGACGCCGCCCGGCTGGGGTCGGCGGATAATATTTATACTGTGAAGAGAACGCATTATTTCAAATACAAATGAAGTGAACAAGGAGAACGTACTGCGTGAATTAACATAAGGGGTGAACGTAACGCCCGTTTCATTTTAGTAATAAATTTATAAACCAGTGCATGAAATTTATTAGTTAAGATGCGTCGGTTAACCCTAGATTTGTGGTTCGCCAAGGATAACAGGTTGTTGAATACCAAGAGCTCCTACAAAAGGATTCTGATGGCACCTCCATGTCGTTTCGTTCAGTTCATATGGCATTTTTTCGTGCGTTGTGTTCATGCCTTGCAAAAAGCCCATATTAAATTCTCTTCACAGTTCTTTATTATTTTATTGTTAGTGCGCGGGCAGAACAGGTGATATACCACAGAGGGATGAACATGTCATGTCTTCTTCATGCCTTCTCCTCCTCGATGTTGCCCTGTGGTTGCCCCACGTGTCCTTCGCCTCCTTCACCCGTCCACCACCATTCCACATCCGCAGGCCAGAGTGGCTCATGCTGCGGTTTGCAGCAACCACATGGGGGAGTGTAGGGCCCAACCCCCATGACAGTATGTGCACCAATTTCTCAAACATAGGAATTGTAGGCTTGCAGCTACCAAGACTTGTACACATCCCAAAGTAGCCATAGCAAGACTGTTGTTTGTTTCGTTTGCTCCGCTGGGGTAAAAATTGTGACTGTCCGAGTTACGCAGGTCATGAGCCCCGCCTGCTAACCACTGCGCCGCAATGGCTAGCCAAGACCCGCTGCTGGATCTTCCAGCTGCACAAACGCTGGCCATGGAAGGTGCTGAGCTGGATTGTGGATCGGAGAACGATCCCCTCAGGCTTGAGGAGCGAGATGATAGTGATGGCAGAGGAGACACAGGTTCAGTGGCTGGTGCCGGGGCATTACATTTCTTTCATCTAATTCTTGGTATTTTACTTCTTTTTCTTATCTTCTTTTCTTGTACTGGTTTCGTTCACATCTTAATTGTATTCATGTGTCGTTCACCTATTCACTCCTTATAATACAATTAATATGCTCTCTAGTTTCGTTCATTCGTTCGCACATGAATTCACGCTTCGTGCCTCATTGTAATTCATGAACTCACTTCAGAAGGCATTATATGGACAGCCCACCGCAACGAGATGTTGCGAAGCCTTGACTCAGCTGCCTGACGGAACCCTCATCCAATGCCACCCCCTCGAGGAGGAGGTGCGTACGGGCAGTTAGGGACATAAGCTCAGGACAAATCATCACATACCTCGGGTTGTGTGTAGATCTTAATGATCGGCAGTGAAGAACGAGCCAAACAGGTTGCAGCTGCACTGAGGTCCATGTGGTCCACTTCTGAACCGGAGTGGCTTGTGAACGTGGGGGACTCGCTAGTGTTCAACGGTTTCGAGCTAGAGTGAACCTCGCAGGGGTACCGCCTGCGCCAGGCAAGCTATGCGCGAGAGGTTCTCAGCAAGTGCGAAGATGTCAGAGTCCCCGTTCCGAAAGACTTCAAAGCACCGCCAGTCCCCGAGGCAGAATGGGCTCAGGTCTTGAAGAGTGCGCAACGGATGCGCGGCCAGCTCCTATGGCTCACAGGCCGTACACGTCCCGACATGAGATACGCGGTCACTCGAGCCTGTCAGTGTGTCGCGAGCAATCCAGCCGAAGCTATGGCAAGGTGCGAGTGGCTGGTAAAGTACCTAAAAACATCCATCGAAGCTGGGCTGCACTACACAGCTGTTCCATACGATCACGCCAGCACGGACAGTTGAAGTGGCGACGAGAAGCTGCCACCATCGAGCTGTGTACTGATGCCTCATATGGAGCAGATGTGGAGGAAGACTGCAAGGGAATGCAGGCAGCACACCTGTTTTGGGGAGGAGCTCTGGTGATGTGGCGTCAAAGTAGGCAGAGCTTGATTGCAACATCTACAGCCGAAGCAGAGCTTACGTGGCTGGCGGAAGGCCACTTGACGGGGGAAGGCAATGAGTCCAACTATAGAGGCGCAGTCACGTTCTGCGACAACCAGGCAGCAGTCCAGCTGTGTCTGTTTGCGAAGATGTAGAGCTGTCGTTGGGCCCCTGGAGATGGATGTGGATCATGGGGGTTTGTGCTGGGTTCTGTGGAGGACTTGGGTGGAGGATGGCCCAGTGGGTGTGGGAGACATGCAACCCTCCAGTCGCCGTGGAGGCCCGCCAAGATGCCGGCGCCTTGCCGCAAGAAGAAAGCAGGAGCATCAGTCCAATCCGCCCCGTCCCTTCAACTGCCGAGAGGTGGAGCTTAGGAACATGCAGGACCTGGCCTTCCAATTCCATGAGAGCTATGCAAGAGCCTGTCTGCTGGAAGCGGATGCTGCCACAGCATACTTTCAGGCAGACTGCCCGCGGCTAGACTTCGCTGAGGAGGTTATGCCTCCGGAAGACTGGCAAGAGCCCGGGGAGATTGAAGCAGAGGCACAAGTTCAGGGGAGAGGATTGTAAGGGAAAGGTCGACAGACTCCAGCGGGAGTTACACTGGCAGTCTCCTGAGAGGTGCTGCCCTCGTCGGGGTCGCACAGGGGATAGCCCAGGTCCCACAGGGAGAAGCGGCAGCAGTTTTCCCGCATGCCATCGCTGAACGAACTGTTGCGCTGACGTTTCTTCCAAACCCTCCACGCCAGGTTGTAGATGTCTTGGGGTGGTTTGTTGTTGGACTAGTGGTTGGAGGTATAATAGCCGCACTCATGTGTAGAATGTTCAGGAGGGATGCCCGCATGCTGCATGTGCAACCTGAACACCCACCACAAGTGCAAGTGGACGATCCGCCCCTCATGCCTCACCCCCAACAAGTGCTGCGTAGAAGGCCCCTACAGAACCAACGGGAGGTGATGAATCGAATCATCACACCAGGCCAAAGAGGGGCCACTTGAAGCAAGAGCTGGAAAACAGGAGCCCCTCCCCTCCAACCAGATCCTGAGCCTCCTATGCGGCAACCGGCTCCTCAACCTCAAGAGGCTGAACCGCAGCATCCCCCACATGTGCCGCCTGCGTTGCGCCGACTCATAGTCACTCCCTATGGGCGATGTGTTCACAGCATTGAGGGATGTCCCTCACTAGCAAAGACCCGAGTGTACGAAGCACGAGCGCTCTGTAGAGTATGCTGTCAAAATCAGGTTGTGAGACGTGGACGAAATCACCGGCCGGTGCGTGTGTACCTAACTGCTAATGGGAGGTGTGTCCATGTTCATCCTACTTGCCGAGGGTTGAACAGGTGCGAATCAGTCCAAAGGACCCTGTGTGGTACTTGTCTGCTGCATGGTGTTTGAAGGGATTCAAAGGGGGAGTGCGCGGGCAGAACAGGTGATATATCACAGAGGGATGAACATGTCATGTCTTCTTCATGCCTTCTCCTCCTCGATGTTGCCCTGTGGTTGCCCCACATGTCCTTCGCCCTCCTTCGCCCTCCTTCGCCCGTCCACCACCATTCCACATCCGCAGGCCAAAGTGGCTCATGCTGCGGTTTGCAGCAACCACATGGGGGAGTGTAGGGTGTGGCAGTAACCAGGCTAGGCCCAGCCCCCATGACAGTATGTACACCAATTTCTCAAACATAATTCACATGTACAGTTTCTTCAGGAATTGTGCTACCAAGACTTGTACAAATCCCAAAGTAGTCATAGCAAGACTCTTCTTTTCGTTTGCTCCCCTGGGGTAAAAATTGTGACTGTCCGAGTTACGCAGTTAGATATTATTACGGGCGCCACGTATGATTCATATTGCCCGTAGATGTCTATTAACAAATTCATTCATGCGCAAATAATAGTGTTCATGTGAGGTTGTGGCTGCGGCTTCAAACAAAAAGGCAAAAGTAGGGCTTCGCATAGCTTGAAATAGCTTCAAAGAGCTTCAGTCAGGTGTCGGTTCGAGGTGTCGGTGGAAGGCTTAAGGTCTATTCTTTGAGGCTAAAGTGACTAAAGGTCAAGGATTCAGGCTGGCCTGAACCGTTTCGCGTTGATCTATGGGGTCCAAGCACTTGTGCAGAAAGGTACTTGAGACCCCTGCGAGCCCTAGCTTACGCCTCAAGCCCTCTCAATGGTATCCTAAGCCCCGTCATAGTTTCAGAGATGTCGAGCTTTGCATGTCTCTGTCTCCCACTCAAAGGTTCCCAGCTGCAGTTCGTCGCCCTTACTCGCAATTCCTGAAGAACCCATGCCCATGTCATTGAAGTCGCTGCAAACAAGACCTTCAACCGACCGTTTCGTGCCGCCAAGAAGTTGGACAGCACACAGACCTCAGCCTTTTTGAGGGCGCTCTTGAGGCCCCTTGAGACTCTTCGGCATTCGCCTGCCGCCGTGTTCTCCTTAACAACCTCCCAAGTATAAACCTCAAGCTAGTAACTTGACGCCCAAAGACCCACTAAGCCTCTCACAGGAGGATCGGCAGGAGCTCATCTCGGAACTGCTCGGATCGCTTGGGCTCCTCGGCTGCGCCAACACGCACGCAACCCAGGCTTTGGAAAGCACCGGGGGAGGGGGGCGGGGGGCCCGGTTGTTCGGGTGTTCTCGTGCGAGGTGGCAATGGTGAGCATAAAAGCCGCCCGGATTGTCTGGATGCGTCTCCGAACCCCTGGAATCTGCAGTGGCATCATGACTATTTGTAATTCGGTGCTGTTTGTCTCCAGCGAAACCGCTGAGAGGTACATTGGCAATACTGTCATAAACGGGCTTTCTGGGGGCCAACGGAAGCGAACTGCCATTGGCGCAGCGCCCTCGACAGTCATGGGGGGTTCTGGGTCATCTGAAAGTGTAAGCCCCTGCAGCCCTCTCGAAAACCCGCAGGGCCGGTAGGCATTGCTCATTTATAGGGGTCATAGGTCATAGGATGTTCAATCCCCTCACTGCGCACCACGCCGATTCTTTGCTTATGCCCTCATCAACCCCAGGGTTGAAGGCACTAGCGGTTTCAGCTTCTTACAGGGGACCATAGGATAAAGAAGGGACATTTAGGGAATCCAGGACCCCTGATCCTCGAGTCCCTGAGCCTTTGACAGGTGCCTAATCGCCCCTGAAAGCTTCTCACTCCGCACAGAGCCACAAAAAGGCGAACCAGTTCTGCCTCAACGAAACACTGAATCCCAAATCGCAGCCAGACCTGCAAAGCCTACATCGTATACTTCCGACTCTCATGCATCCCAGAAACCCAGGCCCCGTATCACTCCTACTATCCCCGAATGTCTCGACTCAAAGCCTTCATGCACAGAGTCCTAAGTCCTGAGCTTCGGAACACACTCGACTTACACACGGTTTGGTTTTGGCAAGGCCGTGATACGAAATTTTCTGGATGCTCGAAACGATAACAAAACCCCTCAGGTGGAACTTATCACCAGGCCCGACATCGTTTGCCTCGACGAACCGCCTGGGACTCAGTGCCGTTCACCTTGAGCCTTGCTCCCTGAGGTGTAATGAGGTGTGCAGGGAGGGTGTGCGAAAAGATGAAAGTGGTGGGAGGAGTGCATAGGACAATCTAGAGCCAGGGTTTCGAAAGGCTTCAGATCAGCTGATGGGGATTAGAAGGTGACTGAGCGTGCTTAAAGGGCTTAAGCAATAAGCGCAACGCTTCTATGCGAAAACAAAGGAACATGGCAGCTTAAGGCGAGGAACCATGTATCCCCGTGGTCATGATCTCCCAGGACCAGTGGCTTGGACTCTTACGCGGCCTACCAGGAAGGGGGCTACGCCATGTCAAGCCCGGAGTACCCTTCCGGATTCTGGTCTTGGGCGTGGCTTCGGAGTTTGCTTCAAGGGAGGAACTTGAAGGGCGAAACAGTCCACATCTACATGAAAGTCGTAAATCTGACTTTGGGAAATTGGGAGGTGAACTCCGCTATCAGGAATGTTGTGGAGTGATTTACTGTCAGAGCTTCTATTTGACGCTGCCCTTAGCTGAGGCTTGTTCTGAGTGCAGGTCATGAGCGTGCTGAAGGACTTAGCCAAAACCGGCTGTACCATCATTTGCGCCTCGGCAGCTTGCGAGCAAAACTGTAAAGGTGCATCCGCCTTGCCTTAAAACCAAGCCGCCAATCCCATCCTGAACCTGAACCTGCCCAACCCCGATAGTCCCTTCTCACCCTGCATCCCAGAAAATGCTGCCGCGCGTTTGGTTTTGGTCCCTTTTTGTGCACTGTCTCATCTGTCCTTCCATTCCTGATATGCATCGCAGCTTAGACACTAAGAAAACTGAGGCACGCTCCACCAACCCAGCAGCGAAATTTTCGCGCTAGTGGATCATGTGCTCTGCAGGGGGTCCCAGCTGTAGCGTGCAGGAGTTTAGCAGATGATGAGCTCATACGAAGTATATGTCTCTTCAGCACTGCCATCACGCTCGATTGGTGTTTGTCCTGCTGAGAGTCTTACGCAGAAGTTCTCCCCAGTTCTGAAGACAGTATCTGCTACCGGGGACGTGACAAGATATTGACATGAGAGGTCATGCATTTTCTCATTCAGTTAGAAAGCCCAGCCCAGCCGCCAGCCTTGCACCAAAGATTGCCAGCTGTGCAAATCTGCACTTGTTCTGGTCCAGGAGCGTGAGTGCTAATTTCGACTGCGCAGGTTCCTGCAGGACGTTCGCTCAAAGACCCCGTGAGCCCTGTGACAAATGAGCTTGAACGGCACTTTATGTCTTACGGACCCTGGCCTACAGTCTGAGCACACTTCGAGCCTTATTGGTCCGAAATGGCAGGAACCGCACCTTCGGTAACTACCGTTAACTACCCTGAAACCTTAGAACATGTTCATTAATCCCTTCCTCCTTGATGCTAAATCCCTCCCCCCCCCCCCACCCCTAATCCTGAAATTCGCCTGGGCCCTAAAAAATATTTAAAATAGGGGGGTCTGAATCCTAAAACCTGATTCCGAAACCCTTAATGGCTCAACTCAAGGGCGAAGGCCCTGAACCCCTCCCCCCCTAATTCTCAAACAGGTTTAGTATTGGGCTGGGTGCCGGCAGGGTCCGGGAAAAACAATATTAAAATTAGGGGTGGTTTTAGTATTAGGGGGAAGGGATTATACGACGACGTCATATTCTTGTTCCCCGAGGCCCTTCTAAACCTCGCAGTGGAGATTGCAAGGCCTTTGCGGTGGGCATTGCCTTTGGGCTGGGGACAGAGAGCAGATGGTCAACTACTTCGCCAAGGCCGCTGTTGGCCTTTGTCGTTGAGGTTTGTTGAGGTCTTGTCCAACTCACTTAGGTAGGCCGCGAAAGATTCAAAGTGATTAAAAGTTGAGGGTTCTTGATTTTGTCTCTCTGCTCCCCCGCCTTGCTCCCCAGCTGTGTGGTTCTCCATGGAACCAGGTAGAGTGGGTGGATCGTCGGCACTGGAACCCCCTCATGGAAAGACGCCCACTTTGACCACTTCGAGTCTAGGCTCCCTTCGTTCCCCTCATCCAAAACCTTTGTTTATCGTAGAGGGATGCAATTCTTTGCACGCAGCTCCGATGTCCTTAGACTCCGCAGACCCACTCAAGCAATACTTACAACTTGATATGCTTTGGACATGCACTGAATATCCATATCTTGCAAAAGCCAGGATCTGATTGCCTGCCCGGATCAAACCATAGAGCCTGACAGAGCTACTCGGTGTCCTCACACCCTGAACACCCTTCAAACCCCCCAAATCGAAATCCCAACCACCCGAAAACCCGATCCCGGGAGGTTGGTTATCCCTGCCCTGCTGGTTTCAATCCGGCGGACTTTGTCATCTTCCTCATGCAGACGGACCCCCCGGTATCGACATCTGTCCGCTTTGCTCACTGCCTTGTAGGGCGCGGCAGTGCGTAGTTCTAAGCACCAGAAAAATTAGGATAAGCCGGGCATAGTACAAAGTCGGAGCACAAGCACTCGTCCCTAAATACCCAGAGTCCCCCAACTTCACACCCTCATATCTGAACAACAATGAAGGTTGAAAGAAAACTGGAACATAGTCCCACCAAGAACCCCAAAACGACAAAATGAACTCTTACAACCGCGCGCGGAACTGGGCCGCGCTGCCAGGAGCCCAAGGCAAAGACAGACGCCTTGGTTCGCATCTGGACCCAGGAGCGCCTGGAGGCCACAGGCTCAGGCTCAATCCAAACACTTTAGGTGCTGTTTGTGCTGTTTGCTTGTGTTGGCAATTTGGGGCGGTTTGCTGTTCTAGTTAACGTTTGTTCCTCAGAGCAAAGCGAGGGGTTCCAGTGTTTTGGGACGGCTTCTCCACAGACATGGACTTCTTCGGCATTGTGGCATGTAGTATGATTCTGGAAGTCAGTTAGCTGTCTAACGGGTGTGCGAAACCTTGCTCAACCTGTGTCATGTCGAGCACGGATCCGTGGCATCCCCTTACCCCATGCTTTGGCCGCCCCTGTCTCCCCCCCCGTCTTCTGCGTCCCAAGCCCCACATTGCCACTTGCCAAAGCCCAATCCATAACTCTGCTCTCGAGGCTGCACTCCAGCGGAGTAGTGCATCTGGCCTCTCCGTGGGTCCCGTGGCGGCAGGTGGAAACTCTTGGCTTCAAAAACGTTCTTTAAAGCGTATGCCGCTCAAACCCGCTTGGTTTCTTACAAGGCGCTTCCTTGTGCTGAACAAAAGCAGCGTGCAAGCCATGCTACACTTGTATCACACAGGGGTTTGAAACGTTTTGAGGACCCGCAAAGCCAAGAAAAGTGAAGCAGTAACGGGTGGTCAGGGCATGGTTGAGCAATCAGCGGTCCATGGTTGAGGACCTTCAGTAAATCCGTAGATACTGAACATCGTGGTCCTTCCCCTCATGAACAAACTTTCGCGGCCCTTGACCCCAGCTGCTTTCAGGGATTAGGTTCAGGGGGAGACAGCGTTGCTCAGCTCCTTTGGGCATAACGTATAGACTATAGACCCCTGGAACCCACAAGTTGCAAGCAAAAAAAGCAAACGGCGCAGCTGCTCTCAGGGTCGGCGACCGACGAGGAGCATGAGCTTTGCAGGACTCCGGGGATGTCTCTTGGACGCTTTGTGATGTTTTGAGGGTGTTGTGGTTGTTAGGTTGTCCCCAGAATGTCCCTTGCCTGCAGGGGATGCTCGACGTAAAACTATTCTGAAAGGGGCGTGTCCGTGACTCTAAAGCTTAGAGGTCTGGATGCCAAGCTGTGCCGCGCCCTTGAGCTGTTGTTGGAAGGCATCCCGCGTCTCCACATCTTCCATGGTTACTCCAACTTCACAGGACAAGAACTCGGACCCTCTGGTAACCTCTCAGCATCCTGAAAAAGGGCAGTCTGGGGTGGATACCCGCCCTGGGAGCAAGGCGGGAGCAAGGGGACGGAGGGGACATCCTCAGACACCCCCCCCGCCCCTTCCCCACCGAACAAAATGGACTGGGCCTCCACATTACTTAAAGCTGCTCATGCCACGCAGCGCCGCCACGTCTAGCTGTTCAAAGCTCCAGATTTTTTCCCTCCTGCGCAGACAAAGCGACCCAGTCGACCCAATCCGCCCAATCTCCAGAAATGAGAGAGCTCCATGACCCCCATCGAAGCCTTGAGAAGCTCGATCCTCAACTCCTGGACACTGAGGCTTCATGGTGTTCAGGGCGTGGTGCTGTAGTCTGCATTAGCCCAATCCCAACTAAACGAAGGAAGCCCTGAAGAAGCGAAGCCACAACACGTGCCAGCAGTTGAGAGGACACCTAAAGGGCGAGGGGCGAAGAACGCCCTACACCCTTCGTTTGACACGGCCCGGGGCTTCAGATCGCGTGTTCCAAATGTTTTGTCTGCTGGTCTGTTAGTTTTTCAGCTCTCTCAACGCATGGCCGAGGTTTGCACTGTTTGGGGTTTCGTGGTTTTGGGCTGCTGTGTAGAGGGAAGGACGACAAATTTGAGGTGACAGCAATCCAGGATGCCCTCAGCCGTTGTCAACTCTTTGCTAGCGGCCATTGGCCCATCAGACCTGCCCCCGAGCCAGTCGCAGATTCAACAGCTTTCAAAGGCCTACCTCTGCAAGAGCTTCTGCTAAATCGCAGCCATGCTTTGATCTTTGTTTGTATTGTCAGCTGAACGTGCAATGTACTAGTGGAGACTCCTGAACCCTAAAGGGTGCAGGAGGTTCGTCTCGAAGCGGAGTTTGGCGACTGAGCCTGATGCCCCCCTGCGGCCCGCATAACTTGTAGGCCCAATTCCATCGGCATCCTTCGCAAGGTCCGCCCCATTCCGCCCCCAATCCTTGACACTCGAAGTCTGAGAGGCCCTGCAATCCACGGAATCCATGACCCCACACCAGAAAATTCGCTGCCTTGACACCCCAAAGCTTTCAGCTCGTCAAACTTGTGCAGCGTAGGCTTCAGGGCCTCGGGGGTCCGCAACTCCTTTTCGGCTTGTAGGCCCATGAAAAAAGGGGGTTGCGAAACTGAGCAGCTTTGTAGTTTATGAGCCCACCATTTTCTGCTTTTTGAGCTGAACCCGGAGTTGCTGTAACAGAGTTTCGATGGTCGTTTAGAGGCTTTCTCCTGTTTTTTCCTAAGGTCCGCAAGAGCTTCGGAAAGCAGCTCCGCCAGCTGGCCAAGCGCGAATTCCGCGCAGTGGTCCGGGATCGAACCACACTGACGGTAAGGCAGGGTGCTGAGCGCTTTTTTGCTTTGAAGAAGCAATTAAGGTTGCATGGAAAAAGCATTATAAAAAGCAAAGGGCTGTGGAGCCTGCAGGGCTTAGCGGCTTGCACGGTTCATCCCGGGGTTCACTGATTTCTATAGCCAGACAGCGCTCGAAATTCGCGGGCTCGCCAAGTGTGCAGGACGAAAAGCCAAAGTTCTAACTCGAGATGGCATATGGGGCCACGCTGCACCACATGAGTCCGGGGTAAAAGGGCGATGTACGACTTGTGGAAGGGGTACCCAAGCTTCGAATTTTAAACCCCAGCAGTCCTCACACTCAAACCGTTTGAGTAGTTTGAGTGCGTCTCTTCCGTTTTTTTCCGTCTCCCCCTGAACACTCAAACACCAGTCATTCCACTCAGACCTTCGAGTACGACCTATGACGTTTTCAGAGCCTTGGAGCCTTTTGCTGTGCTGAAGTTTTTGCAAAGTTCCCTCTCAAAACCTGAATAGCCCCCAAAATCCGCCCTCCTCCCACCCAATTAGAGACTTAAGATTCAGGTTTTGCCTGTCCGTGGTCCTGACTTTCCTTTTCGGCTTGGTCTTCCAGGGCGTCGGTCGATCACCCAGATGTCAGAAATTTCATTTCGGAGTTACAGGGTGTAGTGTTGAGGGTTCATCACGCAGATCTGGACGGTTGCTTCTCTTCGAAACCCTTGAAGTCGAACGTGCTTGAGAGGCCTTCATATTTTCCCCGGCGGCTGAGCTCTTTGTTACTAGATCCAAACACCACCCTCAAAATCACCCTCAATTTGAAGGAGGCTCTCAACAAGCCGAGGCCGGACGATCCTTGAAGCCGACCAGGTCACGGCTTTTTCAGGATATGCTGCTGGGGGAGACCAACACTCGGGATCGCCAGCTTGGGGGATGGAACCTAATATGGAGGTTGCCGTCTATCAGGGTGTTCAGGTGCAGAGCTTCAAGTCTAGTCCCCCTACATTCTGTGACGGAGTTGAGGCCTTCTGTGAGCAATGTTTTAAGCTAGAAGCTTCAGTGTGATGCATTCCCTCTTTGCAGACCCCTTCTCCGCCTTGTAGTGGCTGTGAAGTCAAAGGCTATCAAAGGCTATCGCAACTAGAATTTTCGAGCGCCGCAATCAGCCTTGCCAGTCCATCTTCGATCAGATGTGGACGGGCCTGACCTACGAGGAAGTCGCACGTCTTCAAGTTGCGGGGTGATGGCTCAAGGTGTTCTTTCATGGAAAGAAAATTCTGAATCTCAAGCCCTGCGGTAACTTTGGAACTTAGAACCGGAAACCAAACGTCCCGGCCTCTTACGCAAGACTTGTACCCCAAATCTCAAGCAACTGTAAGCATCGCCCTACTCCTGTATGATAGAACGATGGACCGCAATGGTTTCCTTGCTGCTAGATACTGCACAGCTACTAGCCTAAAAAGGTGGGCTGAGGGCTTAGCATTTCAGACGTGACTTTGTTCTTGCTTCCGAAAAGGCCCCATCCCGCCACAGTTTGCCCGATTTTTGCCCTACAGGCTTTAGGTTTTCAGCAGATTCGCAGCCAGCTTGAAGTGCCCAGAGTCCAGTCAGCTGCAGGTTGACAACTATTTGAGCCTAGGCCCCTCTGAAGTTGTGCTACATCCTCAGTTTAGTAGTCGAAGTGTTCTGAAATTCGGACTCCACGAAGCCAAGAATATGCAGACGAATCAGTCCCGACACTAGCCGAAATTTAGGAATTCTGATTCCTCTTCGGATGTCTGTTTGACCCGAGGTCACAGCACTGCGAAAGAGGAAGCTGGAATGGCAGCAGCCCCAATGAAGCGAAAGGAATTAGGGGAGGAATTTACAAAGAATCAGAAAGGAGAGTAGGGAGATCGGAGCGCGACTCAATCTTTCTGGTTTTGGGGTGCCCAGATATGCTCAACTATACTTCTGCCAGCGGCAGTATAGCAGGTAGTAACCAGGTAGCATGTGGTCATTTCTCGAAATTTGGATCCCTTTTGGGATTACGATGATAAGGCGGCCCCGAATATTTAGGATACCCAAAACGGGACCATCATCTTGGCGAACTGACCATGTCCATCTTCAGAGGCGTTGGTTGGAGAGTTCAGGAAGTTAAGGCTAGAAGCGGAGCCTGGACCAGTTGAGGGTTTAGTTTGAATCGGACATTGGTGCGGTTTAGGACTTTGGGCCTACGTTCTTTTGCACAGGAGAGCTCAACATGGCTAGGAATTTGAGATGACATGCGTTCAGTTCTCGGACAGGTGCTTGAAACACATCCCAAATCCCCATCAGTCAGCCCTGAAGTCTGAAGCCTCCAAGCCCTCAGAGCCTTTCACCTCCCCAAAAGTTTCTTAAAGCAGCCGTGACCCATAAATCTCCCTCGCATCGCGGATCGCGAGGCATTTCAATGCACTCGTGCAGGTCGCGCTTGTCGCCATGTTCAGGCGAATTGGGGTTAAGGGCCGAATTTAGAGATGCAGGTCGTTGGGACTCGTGGGCAGGGATACGATGCCAGAGTTTTTTTAGAATGTTGACGCTTGACTTCCGTACACAAAGCACCCAGCTTCTCCCATTCGCAGTGAGCCTTGTACTCTCGGAGAGTTTGAAGAGGTAATAGCCAAAGGTATGGGCAAGTCCTCGAAGCCGGGCCACCGCAAACCTCTACCCTGCCCATCCCGTGACTTACACCCTCCTGGCCCCTTCAGCGCGTGCCAACCCGTGATCCTCACCTTCCCGCTCGAGCGTTCGGCCGCACCCCGAGCGGGCAAAGCGGCTTTGGTGTGTTCGGCTTTCTGCTTTGAATGCTCTGGAAATTTGGGGGGAGGGAGGGAGTTTTTGGCCTTGTACGTCCTGTAGATCGAGGACGGGGTGGGTGACTTAGCTTCAGGGTGAGCTGGGTTGGGTCAGTTCTCTCCAGCGCAACACACAGTTTCTGGACGTTTGTGGCACAGTTTGAAAGACTCCGTGAGAGTGGAACCGAGCGGCAAGATCTCAGCAACTGCTTCGACAGTGCTTCGACGCTTGGCTTCCTCACAAAACCAAGTCCCCCCAAGCCCCGCACACGCCCAAGGTGGGTCAGCTTGTTGGCCAAGCCGTTGCACCATGAACGTACGGCTACTACGGGTTCTAGAAGTGTTCCGTGATACAGCCTGGACAACCCTGAACCCCAACGTAAGATCCATAAATTCAGGCAGCCTATTCAAACTCCGAAACCTTTCTATCTGCTGAAGTGCAGGGCTCGCGGAATTTGAGATTTGCTTTTAGAGTTTTAATGTGGGAATCCCCTCACTTCTCTTCAGCTCGTCAACTCGTTGCCCAGGTCTTCCTCCGCGAGTACAGCAGTGGGACTTACAGCCGCCAGACTCATCTTGGGGAGAGCACAGGGGGCTCTGTCTCCAGGTGTTGTGCCAGGTCTTCCTAGGTGTTGTAGGTGTCTGCTGGCCTTTAGTTTAGCCCGCTGCATGCGGTGCGGGGGATCGGGGAACTTCGATCGAAGATTCTTGGGGCAGGATTTGCACAAGGAAGGCTCCATGACCTCGGCCATGCGGACCCTTCAAAAATTTAGCCGAGTCCAGAGCCGAATCCCAGAACGCGACCCAGAGCCTGAAAACCGTGCTCTTCTTGCAGATATATATTCTCAGCCAACAAAGCCATGGGTTCGAAACTACACTGTAAATAGCCAGGAGTCGACTTAAGGGTTGCAATGCAGAATCCTTTTGTTCAAAATTCATCCCCCTAAGGGGCTTCAAAATGGTGAGCTTTGGGTGGTGGATACAGTTGAGTTGTTGAGGTCCTGAAGACAAACTCACTCCGAGCAGAGACAAGGCCTGAAAAACCTAAGTCGCAAGGGTTTTCTGCCATTACGTAATTCTCAATCAGGTGTTCTGCCCTACTACATGTCCAAGATGGTGGTGGAGGCAGTTTTGGGACGACGCATGTTAATTTCCACGCTCCCACGAACCAAAGGTTCGGTTGACCAGAGGCTTTACGGAGCTGAGCATTGCAGTGCTTCAGAATCCCTAGAGTTCACACAAGAGTCTCGAAGTTGCCGCTCCTGGTGCGATTAAACACAGCTGTAACTTCACGCGAGACCCCAACGCCTGAGCTACTATAGTGTGATTCACGCATAGACGGTCACAGGCAGGCGGTAGAAATTCTGGCAGGTTCCTCTGGTGTTCATCCAATCATTGTTGACGTGCAGAGCTGAGCCTTCGGAATCGACGGGAGGGGGGTCGCTTTGGGAGTGTGACTGCAGGTAGAATAGGCGATATAAGGAGGACGCGACCTTCTATCCGGCCAATGGTGGAGAGCGGAGCTTTCGCAGCTTTTTCACTGCGCCTGTTCGGATGCGACCAGGCAAGGGTTGGACAGAATATGGCAGAATCAAGAGCCTGAGCAGGACTGAGCGAAAATTCGCAGATGACTGGAGGGTGATTGGAGGCGTAATAGTCGGGCTTTTGCATTCTGGGCTTCGAGTGTAGCGTGTAGCTCCAGCCTGCCAATGCTGATTACAGTTGCAAGCGGCTACGGAATTGCAGGGCTCCAGGATCAGAATTTCGTCATTTTGTTCAAGGCATGTTCTTCTTCTGCGTTCTGGTTCTCGAGTCATGGAGTCATGGACCCATGGAATCACTCCACATTCTTGTCTACAGAGATGTTTGGCAATCCTCAAATTCTTCCGAGGTTGGGTCTGTGCTACGTCGTTATGCCCGGATCTCGGTTGGGAGCTTCGGATTCGGGCACAGATGGGCAAATAGAATGGATACATAATATACATATGTATATATACAGTATACAAATAAATTAAAAAGAATATATATATATATATATATATATATGGTATGCGATCTGCTTGCAGGTTGCCACATGTCACGAAGCTAGCTGTCTCCGCAGTGAATGCTCGAAGTTTCTTAGGAAGGGGAACGCGTCGTAGGTAGGGGCAAGCCGCTATGGTGCCATTGTCGCAGCTTTGTGCTCGGCTAGATCTACCCGCAGAACTATCCGCCGTTCTCGAGAGCAAAGGGTGGTCGGTGGGTAGACTGGCCATGTTAGCCGATATTGATGGCACTGCTGCTCCAATCCTACGTGTCCTTGTCGAAGGTGATGAGAGGTTTGTCGGTATAAGCGAAGCCGATCTTCGCAAACTCATCGGTTGCTGTGATCTGTTTACCGGGCTGTCCCGGAACGTTGAGGCCCAGGGCAACTCGGGAGAGATCGCAGAGGCTTTCGTTCGCAACGTCCGATCAAAGACCTTAGTGTCGACCGAGAGAATCGAGCAAGAAGCACATCGAAAGTTTCTTCCTACAAAAGGCTCGGCCCCTTTGTGCAGATGGCCCTGCAGAAGGGTTCGGTTGTTGGCTCAAGCAGGAGAAGATCAGAAGCTTAGAGAAAGAGTGGAAGAAACCGAGAGATTAAGGTGGATCAAGACTCTCGCCGTTCTACTCTATCGGGGCGGCACTCCTATCAGCAAGGACTTCGTCAGTGCCGCCGACCTGGGAGGGAGTAGGCGAGTAGGCAAGGGTCGGAGACCCTCCACGCTTAGAAAGCATGTCAAAACTTGGGAGAAGTTCGTCCTCTGGCTGAAAGGGGCCTACGATGTGGAATGGCCGGTAGCGCCGCAGCAGTTCATCGATTATCTCGAGGAGCGAGCCTCCGAACCATGTGGCAAAAGCGTCCCGCTTGCACTGTTGAAAACTCTGATGTTCATGGAGACCTCGGCCGAGATCCTGAAGCCTCAGCAGATCTCGGTCCATCCGTCAGTGTCGAATGCCATGCAAGAGATCGCTCGCTTCTTAGAGTCTGCTTCGCATTCCGAGACTAGGAAGGCAAATATGCTCCCGGTCAAGGTGGTGATGGCCCTGGAAAGGTCTGTCATGCACATCTCTACGGCTAAATTCGTGAGGGCAATGGGGTGGTACAAACTTGTCAAAATCTGGGGGGCTTTGAGGCACTCAGATGCACAAGGGATTGACTACAGTTCCATTCGAGTCTGTCCTCGAGGCTTAGAGGCAGTTCTGACTAGGACAAAGACCACAGGTCCGGGCAAATCTGTCAAGACTGTGAAGCTCTATGTTTCGAAAGATGCCTGGCTTGAGGCTCCCACATGGCTGTCGGTAGGCTGGGAGATTTGGGAAGAACTCACGCAGGAAGCCGGCCTGGCCCGTAGGGACTTTCTACTGCCAGTACCGGCGTCCGACCTCCAATCCATCACCAAGAAGGTTGCGTCCTACGCTGATGCTGCAGCTCTGTCCAAGGCATTGCTTTCCAATCTAGGCTCTTGTGAAGGCAAAGGGCATTTGTTGCTACCAGGGCTGGCAGCCATGTGGACAGAGCACTCAGAGAGAGCTACGTTGAGGACGTGGGCAGGGGCGATTCCACTGTCGCCGCAAATTTTGAAACGCCTGGGTCGATGGAAGCAGAGTGTCGACGAAGGCTACGATCGTGGAGATCGAGGTGAAGTAGAGAAGGCTCAGGCGAAAATCGCAAAGTTCATTCGGACCTCCAGGGGAAAAGCTGATCCGGTCGATGAGGAGGGTCTACTCTCGAAGATTGTCTCACGGTTGGTTGATCAGGGGTTCGAGCCGTCGGTGGCTGCTGAGCAATTGGTCCTTCTCAGTTACTTCGGTCGGGACACCGCTCCGGCGGCATCGGACTCGGAGGAGTTGCGCTCGGCCTCAGACTCAGCCACAGATGTCATTTCATCGTCGTCTGAAAACGAGGACGCGGCCCCTGCGCGTAAGCCGCCATCGCCAGCGCAAGCTCAAGGCAAGTTCTTCGTGAGCATTGTGGGCCGCTCCAAGCAAAGGACACTTCATCGGTCTGGGGAGTGTTATCGCAAACCGGGGGTCCACTACAAGGAATTTCTTGACCTCGGTGATCAGTGGCCCAATAAGTCCGACTATCACAGAGCATGCAAGGCTTGTTTCCCGAGGCAGCTGGGAAGGACTGAGGGAGAGAATCAAGAGTCTTCCTCCTCGGATAGCGGGGTGAGCTCTTCCGATACAGAGTCGGGGGAGGGCTAAACAAGTCAATGCTCTCGATGCGTCCCACCTCACGAGGGACTTGGCTCTCCCGATGTCAGGATCGGGGGAGGATCTCAGAAGAGACAAGGGATGGGAAAGGTTCATCTCTTGTAAGAGTCGGAACGCTTGGCTCGCTTCTGGGCCGTCGGTGTAGAGCGAGCTTGCAGGTAAGAAATTTTGCGACGCTGTTTGCTTGTTTGCTTTTCTGCATCTTGGTTGTTGCCTTCAAGTGTTTGTGCGTCCTGCTTCACTACGCAGCAGAGTTCAAACATCGTAGTAGCAAGTAGAGCGGACGGGGTAGCCGCGTTGCAAGATCTCCCCGAAGAGCATGGCACGACCGGATATCAACACGGAAGAGGGTCAGAAAACGTTGGCTGCCAAGTTGGAGGCAGACTTCCCAGGGCTCGCGCAGACTAAAGGCATCAAGCTCAAGCAACAAGCAGAACTGGCACAGCTATCCATCTTAGCTATCTCCCGATACTCGGCTGTTGCCGACGATCGTGCCGGACTCAGAACATTTTGCAAGGATATTCTCCACTTGGACCCAAGTACCACCCCGGAGCATCTAGTCGAAGTGGCTGCGTTGCTGGACTTGTGGGAATCCTGCAAGTCTAGGGCGGAGGCGCAGCACAAGGCAGACGCAGAGGCAGTGCTGAGTAAACTGCCAAGAGTAGCAAACAAATCAGAACTCCAGGACATCAAATCCCGCTTCGAGGCTCTGCACTACGCTCTCGATGACAAGGCCACCCCCTCATCCGCGACTCTCGAGTTCCATTTTGACCAGGTTGAGCAGGGAGAATTGAGGCCTACCACGTTGGGTCAATACGTTAGTCGTGAGCATGCAGAGGCAGAACAGTATGGAGCAGTCATTGACAAGTCCACCGGTGCAATCAAGATAAAGAAGGGCTTCACTGAGGGCAAGAAACCTACTTCCCCGGAAGAATTCCGCTCCGCCGTCAAGCTCGTGGCACACACATGGGTCATGTGTTTCCTTAGATATCCTCAAAAGTCCTTTCTGAAGGACGTCTCGGTAGCCCAGTGGCAGCGGTATGCGGACTACATGCTCGGCGAGCACGTGCATGGGCTCACGGCCAAGGACAGTCAGGGACACGACTTGTCGTCGCCGTCGTGGGATCTTGTGCTGGCTTATGACTATCAGATTCGTCGAGGAATGGTGCGCTTGATCAACGAAGGAAGCTCTTTTGCCACAGCCTTGGACAGTGCAATGAGAGATACCGTTATCAAAGAACGCTACTTTGTCACGCCATGTGCGTTGGCGTCTATCTCCACTTCACCTCCCACCAGGTCCAGGTCTCCGAACACTCGCGGCTTTCGCAATGACGGTTTCTATGGGGACCAGGCGCGCATCTCCAAGGGAAAGGGTGCAGGTAAAAGCAAGGGCAAGAAGGGCAAGGCAAAGGGACTGGTGTACCATTCCAAAACTCCCGATGGTCGGGAGTTGTGCTATGCGTGGAACAACCCCAACTCCAGATGCCGATTCAATTGCGGACGTGTGCACGCTTGCCAAATTTGTTTCGGTGGACACCCAGCGCACGCGTGCCCCAAGCACAAAGACACAACAGGGGCGGCAACGCCTAACGAACCCAAAGAGGCTAGTTCGTGATGTTGGCAGCCTCCGCCTGCCCCTTCGGAGGTTGCTAGTGCATCAGTTGGGGCATCGCCAGCAGAAGTGCAACAGCCTCAGATTCTCTACCTCTTCAGCGGGTCTAGCCGTGCGACGTCCACAACTCAGCTGCTAAAGAAGTCAGGCATGAATGTTTGCTGCGTGGACATCTCCGAAGGGAGCCACTGCGACTTGTCACTACCAGAAGTTCAGGAGCGCATTTTGCGCCAAATTCAGAAGCGCATGTACCGAGTCATACTGTGCACACCTCCTTGCTCCACTTGGTCTAGAGCCCGGTGCGCCAACAAACGAGGGCCTCCTCCCGTGCGTGACGCAGCCCATCCTGATGGATATCCGTGGTTGAAGGCTTCTCGAGCCCAGGAGGCTTGGCTTGGCTCGCAGCTCGTACAGTTTGCGATTCGTGTGTTTCAACTCGCCACGGAGGCATCCGAGCAACATCCCGACTCTCCATGTTTTCTTCTTTGGGAACATCCTGAAGATTTAGGCGTGTGTGTCCGAGAGGAAGACCGCATGCACATTCAACCAGCCAGTGTCTGGCAGTTGGCGGCCGTGCGCAATCTCATCGATCGAGGTCACCCACCAGTTTTCACTGTGGCGTTCAATCAGTGCTGTTTCGGAGCTTCATACCGGAAGCCCACGCGTGTCTTGTCAAACCTGCCAGCGCTCAGGTCTTGGGGGCCATCGGAATGGCCGCTCCTTGATGATGACGGCTTCTACCTTGGTCCGTTGCAGCCCTCATGCGCATGTCGAGTGTCCATGACCTTGGCGCGGACTCCACAGGATCTCGATTTTCCCACAGTTGGAACGGCTGCTTATCCTCCACGCCTGGACTCAGCCATTTCCTCAGCCGTCAAACAAGCCTTGAAAGCAGCCACGTTTCCTTCGGACGGGGTGGGGACGTGCCTGCAAGGGTCAGCAGGCGCCCCGCTTGGAGCCTCGAGTCAAACTGCTGGAAAGGGTTGCTCTGCTTCAGAGGTGGAAGCTCCGGGGACAGCAGAGTCTCCGGATGTCGGGAGCCTAGATGATCAGGGCAACCTACAGCATTTGCAGTGCAAGAGCTGTTGGGGCCGCGGCCCACCGATCATGGCGTGGTACAAAGGTTCGTCGCGCCCGATCTGCGACGGGGGGGGGCTGCTGTCTCCAGGGCGGTGGCCTATCCATCGCAGAGATCTCAGTCTCAGCGACAAAGGTGAGCAGCTCAGAGCGTTGGTGCATGATCAGTTCAGACTCTGGCGGGAGGCAGTCGTTGGCTCTGGGAAGGACGTGATGCGGGACAAGTTCTGGCCTGCAGCGGCGGGCTCAATTACGGTGTCTCCGTTTGGTGAGTCCATCGATTCGGCCAGAGAAGCTGTGGATACTTTTCTGGAGCAGGTTGGTCTGGATCCCCGCCGGAGGCCCGAGGATGTCGAGTCCGAGGTGAATTTCCGTAGGGTGGCCGCGGCAGCGGAGGTGCTAGGGGACGTCGACTTTGATTACCTCCAAGAGGTGGCGAGCCAAGGGGTTCCGATTGGTGTGGGAGTCGAGCTTCCGAGAACTCCGCATGTCTTTGAGCCCAAAGTCAAATGGAACTTGAGTGAGGCAGAGGGCGAGTTTGTTGACACGAAGGCCGAAAACTACTCGTCTGCCAGGGAGTCTATGGCTAGAGTTCGGGAACAGGTCCTGGAAGATGTCAAGAAAGGGCTTGTAGAGCGGATGACTAAATGTGAGGCTGAGAGCGAGTTCAAGGGGAGGCTAGCCATAGCGGCTCTGGGTGCGGTGCCCAAGGCGCTGGACTCTGACGAGGTTAGAGTAGTTCATGATGGCAGTTATTCTGTGGATGTTAACCACAGGATAAGGGTAAGAGACCGCATCCGCAATCCTCTTGTCGATGATGCTGAGGCAGTCATGCGGCAGGTCAAGGAGGAGTGCAGCGCGAGGCCAGGGATCCGCTTCGGCATGGTCTACGATGTTGCGCACGCTCATCGTCTCATGCCAGTACGCCGCCAGGACTGGGGCTACCAGGCCTTCAGTTTGGACGATAGCGACGAAGTGTTTCTGCACAAGAGAGGGGCCTTCGGGATAGCGTCTGCAGCATATTGGTGGCAAAGACTAGCGGCGACCTTGATTAGATGTTTTCACCTGTTGGCAGGGCTCATCTGGGCGGTCTACCATTTGCTCTACGCCGACGATGGGTGGCTCGTTGCCCAGGGATCTGATTTCGGTTTCCGGTGTCTTTTCTGGATGTTTCTCTTTGACCTGTTTGAAGTGCCTCTCAGCTGGAGAAAAGTCCGAGGCGGAGTTCGTCTGCAATGGATCGGCTACGAACTCAGCCTGGATGCTTTCCAAGTGGGGATCAGTGAGAGGAAGAGACAGTGGATCTTGAATTGGGTTGATACTGTGCTGATGAGAGGTGGCATCACAGGCCGGGATCTGAGATCGGCACTTGGTCGGTTGGTGTTTGTCGCCGGAGCACTGCGCCATGTTCGACCCTTCTTGGGCACACTCTTCGCGTGGTCATCGGTGCTCGCAGCGGGCACGTGCGCCTCGTTTCCCCTCGGAGTGCGGTTGGTCCTAGAGCTTATCAAGCAGGAAGTGGGGGGCTGTCGCATGACGAACGTTTGCGAGTGGCCTCGCTACCCGGTAGATTGCTTCCGCATCGACGCCAAGGCCGAGAGGGACGACATCGTACTAGGTGGCTGGGAGACTCTGGGGGGAAAGTCCACGGAGAACGCCCGGTGGTACTCGATAAGGCTGTCGAGGTCAAATGCGCCTTGGGCTTTTGTCAAGGGAGAGCCGTTTCGGACGATTGCGGCTTTGGAGCTCACAGCGGTGCTGATTGCAGTGATCCTGTTCTCGAAGTTCGGGTCGTTGCGGGGGAGGTTTGCTGCAGGGGCGCTTCCTGCCCTCACCGACAGCAAGGTATCCGCCCATGTGATTGATAAGTACCTCTCGTGCTCGTTTCCTTTATCAGTGGTACTTATGGAAGTGAGTTTGCAGCTCCACCAGATGAACACTAGGTTGATGCTTCGGTGGGTGCCAAGGGAACAGAACACCGAAGCAGATGCGCTGACAAATGAAAACTTTCACGGGTTCCGGGAAGAGAACCGCATCGATGTGAGGTTCGAGGAGATCGAGTTTCTGGTGCTGTCAAAGCTTATGGAGGCGGCGCAAGACGTTGATGCTGAAGTGAGGCTCAAGAAATCTAAGAGGCACCAAGGAAGCTCCTATCAGGATGAACCTGGCAGGAGAAGAAAGAAAGGAGAAACGAGATGGAAAGATCCATGGTGAGGACCGGGGTCATGCGCGTCTAAAGTAGGGCAAATCGCTCCAGACCACGGTCATATGAGTCATGTGTGCATCGGATCTGTCGGGTAGTCCCGATGGATGAAGGCTCCCCCTCTTTTGCTGTATGAGCTGTGTAGTGAAGGATTCGCGCATCCCGCTAAAAGTTTGCTCTTGCAGGCGCGTTTGGGGGGGAGGGGCTGGGAAGGGTTACGTGTCACAGCACTGCGGAGTGACAAATACTATACACATTATACACATATACATATTTTTTTCTGTACCAGGTTTGGGGGGTCCGGTGTTTTTTTTGTTCTTAGGTCTGGCTCTCCTTTTCTCCTTTTCTTAGGTCTGGCTGGTCCTGTGGTCCTCTGGTCCTCTGGTCCCGTGGTTCGCTGGTCCTCTGGTCCGTGGTCCCTCTGGTCCTCTGGTCCGCGGTCCTCTGGTCCTCTGGTCCCGTCATCCTCTGGTCCTGTGGTCTTCTGGTCCTGCGGGCCTCTGGTCCTAGCTTGCTTCAAAGCATATGAACCTTTAAAAAACCATTGTGTTTGCAAGTTTTTTTCCGTGCAATCTTGTTTTGAATCATATGAGTCTTTTTAATGTTTAAGACTCATCATGCGATCATTGTGTTTGCAAATGGGGGGGCTACGCCCCCCCCCCCCCCCCCCTCAACCCCCCGCTTGTTTTAAGCCGTGCAAGCTTGTTTCAATCCATATGAGTCTTTTTAAAACCCAGCAGGCGATCATTGTGTTTGCAAATGGGGGGGGGCTGCGCAACCCCCCCGCTTCTTTTAGGCCATGTAACCTTGCTTCAAAGCATAATATGAGTCTTTTCAAAACCCATCATGCGATCATTGTGTTTGCAAATGGGGGGGGCTGCGCCCCCCCCAACCCCCCCGCTTCTTTTGGGGCATGTAACCTTGCTTCAAAGCATAATATGAGTCTTTGCAAAACCCATCAGGCGATCATTGTGTTTGCAAATGGGTGGGGCTGCGCCCCCCCCAACCCCCCCGCTTTTTTAGGCCATGTAACCTTGCTTCAAAGCATAATATGAGTCTTTTCAAAACCCATCATGCGATCATTGTGTTTGCAAATGGGGGGGGGCTGCGCCCCCCCAAATCCCCCCGCTTTTTTTAGGCCATGTAACCTTGCTTCAAAGCATAATATGAGTCTTTTCAAAACCCATCATGCGATCATTGTGTTTGCAAATGGGGGGGGCTGCGCCCCCCCCAACCCCCCCGCTTCTTTTGGGGCATGTAACCTTGCTTCAAAGCATAATATGAGTCTTTGCAAAACCCATCAGGCGATCATTGTGTTTGCAAATGGGTGGGGCTGCGCCCCCCCCAACCCCCCCGCTTTTTTAGGCCATGTAACCTTGCTTCAAAGCATAATATGAGTCTTTTCAAAACCCATCATGCGATCATTGTGTTTGCAAATGGGGGGGGGCTGCGCCCCCCCAAATCCCCCCGATTTTTTTATGCCATGTAACCTTGCTTCAAAGCATAATATGAGTCTTTTCCAAAACCATCAGGCGATCAATGGGGGGGGCTGCGCCCCCCCCAACCCCCCCGCTTTTTTCAGGCCATGTAACCTTGCTTCAAAGCATAATATGAGTCTTTTCAAAACCCATCATGCGATCATTGTGTTTGCAAATGGGGGGGGCTGCGCCCCCCCCAACCCCCCCGCTTTTTTAGGCCATGTAACCTTGCTTCAAAGCATAATCTGAGTCTTTTCAAAACCCATCAGGCGATCATGGTGTTTGCAAATGGGGGGGGGCTGCGCCCCCCCCAACCCCCCCGCTTTTTTTAGGCCATGTAACCTTGCTTCAAAGCATAATATGAGTCTTTTCAAAACCCATCATGCGATCATTGTGTTTGCAAATGGGGGGGGCTGCGCCCCCCCCAACCCCCCGCTTTTTTTCGGCTGCGCAAGCTTGTTTCAAAGCATATGAATCCTTTTTAAACCAACATGCGAGAATGGTGTTTGCAAATGGACGAGGGGGGGGGTTATAATTGTGTTTGCAAATGGGGGGGGTGGCTGCGACCCCCCCAACCCCCCCCCGACCTCTTTCAATCCGTGCAAGCTTGCCTCGATCATATGAGTGATTGAAATTTTTCCCATCAGGCGATCATTGTGTTTGCAAATGGGGGGGGCTGCGGCCCCCTAACCCCCCCCGCTGTTTTTAGGCTGCGCAAGCTTTTTCCAAGCATACGAATCCTTTTTAACCCAACACGGGAGCATTGTGTTTGCAAATGGAAGAAGGGGGGGCTATCATTGTGTTTGCAAATGGGGGGGGCTGCGACCCCCCCACCCCCCCCCCCCTCCGCTTCTTTCAATCCGTGCAAGCTTGCCTCGATCATATGAGTCTTTGAAATTTTTCCCATCATGCGATCATTGCGTTTGCAAATGGGGGGGGTGCGGCCCCCCCAACCCCCCCGCTTTTTTTAGGCCGTGCAAGCTTGTTCCAAGGCATATAAATCTTTTTAAGACCAAATTACAGTATTTACAGCCCCTTGACCGCCCAGACGTACCATGATTTATAAGTTTTGCTGCGGTTTTTGCAATGATTCAGAAGCTGCAAACGCGCGAAACACGGCAAATTACAGTTTTTGCAGCCCCTCAACCGCCCAGAAATACCATGATTTACAGGTGTTGCTGTGGTTTTTGCAGTGATTCAGAAACTCCAAACGCGCAAAACACTGCAAATTACAGTATTTGCAGCCCTTCAACCGCCCAGAAATACCATGATTTACAGGTGTTGCTGTGGTTTTTGCAATGATTCAGGAGCTCCAAACGTGTAAAACACTGCAAATTACTGTATTTGCAGGCCCTCAACCACCCACGTGTCGAGCCAGACCTAGGAAAAAAAGGGAGAGCCAGACCTAAGAAAAAAAAAAACACCTCCGCCGGTGGGGCGCGAAGGGCTTCTTGGAGAAGCCAGTGTAAGAATGCTCACTTTTTTGAAGTTACAGTGGATGTCTTCGGGGCGGTGCGGCTCCCTGTTCACGATTTCGGTATCTGTGCAAAGCCATTCGCAGAGCAGGTCTTCATGGGACTTTGAAGCCAAGATCCGTGTTTGGGGCCTTGTGAATAAGCATCGGGCGCAGGGAAGAGAGCGCGGCCTTGAGTCCTAAAAAACGTGCGCCGCAGCGAAAAGCGGAAAGAGCGGAGCAAAGAGCACGCAAATGGCATGCGGAGCAAAGTGGCCGTTACAGGGACCTGGCCTCCCTCTATCAGGTACCAGCCCAAACTGCCCCTTCAACCCCCGGAAGCACTGTGCTCTGAGGTCACTAAACGGCAACTTTTGGCGTGGACCTTGGGGTGCAATCTTGACAGCAGGGTTGGTGCTGGCTTTGAAAGCGTAAGCCAGCCCATGCAGTCAGGTGGATGGATGAAGCCTTCAATACCCTTCAGCTTCCAAGACTCTCCAAAATGTAGCTTGCGCCCCCTTTGTAGATTTCAAGCAAAAGCTCTGCACACGGTCTGAGCAGTCTCCATCACCGTCGCGCCGCCAGAATAGGAGATGATGTCTGGCGATGGAGTTTTTGACTAGTGCACAGATCTCGCTGTCATTGGCTCTGTGAGACTAACGGCTAGTTCAGGGTGGCGCTGAAGCTCAGTGACCCCAAAGCAAGAATTGCCAGGGCCCTCCTCTGGACCATCGTGCTGCTGTCTGCAGCGCGGCTGCAAGAGATAAGCTGCAGATGTGAAGGATTGTGGACAGTATGGATCAATCAAGAATCAGGGTTTCCCGGTTGAGGTATCGAGAGATACGTCGAACAGAGGTTCGGAACCAAAGTTCAGAGATACGATGCAACTTAAGGCATTGCTGAGGTTCAAGCACCCTACACCCCAGTAGGGTCTGGGCCTGCTTCTAAACTTTGTGTTGAAGCCTCTTTTGTCCCTTCCTAGACGTCCCTAACTCGACATCTCTACTTACGGCCAAACGAGCCTCCGTTTGCCAATGATGTGTCAAAGTTGGTGCCGGCGGACGCCACGCGCCGACATGTCAACAAACGAGTAGACATGTCAAAACTAGGTTTTCCGACATGCCGAAAATCCCGTGGACTGTGAAGAGGCTTAGTTGCGGTATATGGGGTTGACCCGAGAAGCCCGAAATCAATATCTTGCGAGATGCCTCAGAAGGTCCATGTTTTAAGTCAGATACTAAGGAGGCGAGTGAGGCTTTGGGTTAAAATTGAGGCTTCTTGGGCTTGGGGTGAAAGCGGCCTCTTTTGTCACTTCAGACTCCGCCGAAGGGGTCGGCCCAGAGTTCTGTCTGCTTCGGTTTTTGAAGCCTCATGACAAACGCATAACGTCCCTCAATTTCAAACTGTCACGTTGCAAGTGCCAGCCGAGGTTTGCTCGGTGTCCGTAGCACTGGCGATCAGCTGTGCTGTGGGGGCCCCGGAGAAGTCGCAATCGCCCCAAAACCCTAGCTATCCCGAGCTCCGGCTATCAGTGAATCAGTCCAAGGGTAAGCCTGGTCTTCGTTTGAAATCCAGGGGCTAGCGGTTTTCACTCAAGAAGTGTTCTGGACGCGTGCCATATCCCAAATCGTTCCTTGTTTGGCACGAATTTTGCTTCCACGAACCCTACCCTCACTGGGCTGGATTGGGGTTTACGCATGGTACGCAACAAGCATTGCGCTTTGCAAGCCGTTTTTTTGCTGGGCCTTTGGAGGAAGTCTTTGGGGCACTTCCGATTCTATTGCAGCAGCGACCTCCACAGCAGCGACCCGCAGCGAGAGGTCGGGCAGCCTCGCGAAACTGGGGCCATTGGGTGCTGCCCACAGTTGTTGGCTGCTGTCTTCGACCAGTGGGAGTTGCGTTCTTGGGATGCTTGTCAAGGGGCTGCTGATCTCGGGACTTGCTCGGGCTTTCCTGGACCTAAAACAGCCTCAACCCCGGCCCCTGGAGGCCTCTTGTCTTTGTGCCGCAGATGCTCTTCTCAGGCACAAGCCAGCAAATCAGTGTAAGGCAAACAGCCTGACCCGAAACAATCCCAACGGTGCCCTCTCCAAGAATGGCCCAGAGCACTGGAAAAACACCCATCACCCAAGCCTCACATCTCAAGCTATTGTATCTTTCGTCGAGTACAGTTGGGTGGATGCCCCTTTTTGACCCCTTTTGGACAGACTGTGCCCCTGCATTTCACAGCCCCAGAGGGTGATAGTCATGGAAAGCTACATGCACAACGAGCATTTTGCGCTGGAAGAGCTTTTCGGGCGTTTTTCCATCCATCTTTGCTCCTGTCGTGTCGCAATCAACGTGAGGACGCTACCCTTGAGTCAACACAGCGCACAGGCGTGTTCATTCCAGTGAGCCACATGCCAGGCCTGGAGCGGGAGTCCTCTCGTGCCATACACAGAGCCATGAGCACACTGGAAGATACGATCTCTAGGTAAATGAGCAAAGCTTCATCGAATACCAAGCAGCAAGAAACATGTACTTCCAAGCAGTCGGGGTGATGACCTTTCGGCGGATTTCGGCAGTGTTTTTCAGAGCCAGGGCCTGGCCATCAGATTTGTTTGAGGATTGATACTGTACCCCGTGAAGCCATTAAGGCGAATGCTTTGAGACAGGAAGCCGACATGTGTTGAGTTGTACAGCTCGTTACCCGTTTTCGCTTGGGGGAAGCCAATGTGTTGACTTGGTAGGAATAGTTTCGGGTTAACACATGTGCAAGTGCCTGCAGCTTAATTGGAGACTGATGCATGTAGCTTCGGACTCCGGCAGTCAAAGCTGCAGTTGTTCGTAATTCTTTACGCACGTTGCATAGACCCCCCCCCCACCCCCCCCACCACCCCCCCCCTCCCCCCCCCCCCCCCCCCCCCCCCCCCCCCCCCCCGCCACCCCCACCCGCCCCCCCGCCGTCCCCCACCCCGGCCCCCCCCCGGCCCCCCCCCACCCACCCCCCCTCCGCCCCCCCGTCCCCCCCGTCCCCGTTTTCTTCACCCCCCCAGGTCATGCTTATTGTTAAAGCTATGAAGAGACATTCGCAAACAGGAAGCCCCTCCCCCCCACAAAACTCCAAATCCTCCAAATCCTTTCCAGTGCTCAAGAGCCTTTGTCTCACAGTCTACCTCCGGTGGATGCAGTACTGCAGCTTCCTGCAGCCTGAGCCTTACCTTCGCCAATCCTAAATTGCTCCATGTGGCCGTGTTCGAATGAAAGACAACACCAAAAACACCACTCAAACCTGGAGCAGAGACCTGCTTAGAATGGGGTGCTACAGAAAGTATGCATGGTGTATCAGAGCAGAATATTCTAGTTGGTAAGCACCTGACCAGAAGCAAGCATGCTTGAAGAGGATTAGGTTAGAAGCGAGCATGCTTGAACAGGATTTGTCAAGGCAACTACTTCTTCATCTCAGGGTAGCTAGCATGTGCTCCACTTCTTCTGCCCAACAAGCAACAGCTCCGGCGCGATTGGTTTAAGCATCAGATGGATGATTGCACAACAAATTGAAAAGTGCACTGGCTAAGCTTGTGTGACTCTGGGCAGCCAGGGAAGCAGGGAGCGAAAGAGTCTGGAAGCAGCAGATTTTGCATTGCCATGTTTCCTAATTGTCGCTGCAGATACGCCATCAAAGTGCTTGGCATCGTGGAGTTTCAGAACGTGCCGCACAAAGAGTTAGTCTTGGACGCGCAGGACCAGGGCCCCACCCATGAGAACCCCGCAAGGCCGCCGGAAAGACCCAACGCACCAACCAAGCTAATGTCGAAATAGTCTTTCGTGCAAGGGATCTTCCCGGGATGTACAGACGTTCCCGTTGAGTTCCCTGTATACCCACTTTGTAGGCGGACTTTCACCAGATGCATACTGTGCCCCAGACTTTTCAAGCGCTGGTGTAAGGGTTTTGCAAATGCTTCGTCAGATTCGACGTCCAGGACATCAACGAGAAACACCTCTCCGTTTACCTAGGCCTTGCCAGCTGCCGCCGAGCTTTCCCTGCGAAAAGCTGTCAATTCTAAGCGCGTGCGGTGGAATGCATTGCTTCATCCAGGTGGCTCGGTGCGCTGTTCAAGGTGTTGTCGTGTTTGGGGGGGCATGGAGAGTTGCGGCACGCCGGAGCCTAAAACTTGAATGCGTACAGTTAAGCAACACTTCTGGAAGCCATACAGTTAACACAGTTAACATCATCTTTGAAAAGGGTTTGCGCCAGTTTGGGCCTTATACCGTTAGGCATTGTGTCGTTAGCTTTGTCTACAGCTCTCCACAGTATCCTCCGGCTGTTCGCAAAATTTTTTGCGAAGTTTCTCTGAACCATGCGGAGGCTTCCTGGTCGGCTTGGTCGCTGCCTCGGGACGCTTCGCACGCTCTTGTGTTTCTCAGAGGCCTAAACCCTAACCCTTGAACCCCGGACCTTAAACCCTAACTCTAAAACTAGTCAAGGCCTCCCTTCCCATGGGGTGCCTCTTCGCTGCATGTGCTGCGACTTTTTGCCGTCAGCTCGGACCGAAACTCGTGCGCCTGCGAAAGAGAGTTATGGGGAGAGGAATGGGCTGAGCTAAGGCCTCCGGAAACCTTCGAGCTTTAGACTGGTTCCGGTTCCCTCTCTTCTATACAATTCTTCTGCCCATCCTCTCTGAAAGTGAGCTTTAGCTCTGACCTCACCGTTCGCCACCAGCTCTCCGGCCGAAGTGGCTTCGTGAGGATATCAGCAAGTTGAGCCCCGGGTGGGAATCCAAACTATGTGTCCTAGGGCCCTAAGATCTTCACGAATGCCTGCCAAGTCGATGGCAAGCCTCTTACATGTTGATACCCATGGAACCCCGTCTCGGACGAGGTGGTCATACAAACTCCGGCAATCGCTCAGAAAACGAACCTGAAAGCGGGTTCCCTCACGCGCCAATCTCCCAGTGAGGATGGTCTCCATGAACTTCACGATAAAGTCCCCCGTTTCGGTGGCAGTGCAGCATGCCATGGTCTCTGCCGCAAAAGTCGAGCGACAGACTCGATCGCACGCACCGCTCCGCCAGTCAACTATATTTCCTTTACCCGGAACTCCGTTGAGTACCTCCTGATTGGCGAACACGTATAAGCCGCCCAGCTGTGAAGCAATCGTGGAGTTTGCCTTCTTGGCCTTGGCCTCTCTCCGACTTGTCCCAGGGACATCGATGAGGCCCTTCTGATCCTCGTCGCAAGTCAGCCGGTAGAAGGGATCTTCTTGGTCTTAAGGAACATTAGCCCGTCCAGCGTCGTGGTAGCGCAGCAAGACTGCGGCATCCTTGAATTGGAGGGCGGGCAAGCTGGTTGGTGAATCTTACGTCTCCGCTCCAACTTGCAAGTCCGGCCGTGATTGACTGGCCATCCAGGACACCGCGCCGATCAGGGACATGTTGTCGTGTTTCTGGAGCTCGGAGGCCTCGTAGTGGTCGGCGTCTTCCTTATCGACGTCCACTTCGAACAGGCGTGTTCCCGCGTAGCTGGCCTGGGAGATCTTGACGGAGTCTTCCAAGATCTAAATGAAAGAACCCAGCGCTCAGCTGCTCCTTCACGATGCTGCAGACCTCATCTTGTCCGACCAGGAGCACATCATCTACATGTGCCCCGAGGTATCCGCATGGCTTGTCGAGCACCTCATGGCCGAAAGAGTCGACCGACTTTACCTCCTGGACCATGAAAATGCAGTGATCTAAGGAACACTGTGCGATCTTCCATGTCTTGTCTTTCTTCTTGAGCACAAGGTCTCGCAGAGTCCCATGGAACTTGGCCCACCATGACGCCGGACTGTCTACAAGGCCGAAGATCGGTTTCCTGATACGCAGGATCTGTTCCGGATGTAGGTTCCCCAAACCGGTGCGAGGTTGACGAAGATATAACTCCCTCTTCAGTTCTTCTCCGCATAGCCAAGCTGCAGTAACGTCACCAGCGTGCCCCGTCCATCCGCAGTGAAGATTTGAAGCGAGGATCTGCGGGAGAAGGTGGATCCCAAGCCTCGATATCGTAGGAGCGTGTGTCGGGAGCCCCTTCATCAGGTCGGGATCTTTGTGTCCACTGATCACTAACCGCGCCTTGTGTTTCCAACCCACATCGGGTTGTTCCACAACTTGTCCCGGTAGGCGAACCTGCTATTGAGCACGCGGTCACCCTTGCTCTTGGAGACTTCCCGACTTTTTTTCGAGAGAAAGAGGAGCCAGCGCGTTGTGTCCGACATGCTCCTCCCACTGTTTTATTTCTGCGCCCTTGAACCCCTGAATCTGATCGCCAGGGATCATGCTCCAGGGGAGCTCCTTCTCCAGGGTCTTCTGTCTAGCACGAGGGGTCTTGGGAAGCTTCAACATGTAGGTGTCGTGGGGATTGGAGTCGGGTCTTGGAGGACCCTTGACGCGGTGGCGCTTGGCGACCGGAGGAACATGTTCTCCTCCTCCCCCCTTCTTCCGGTCTTCCAGATCCGCTGGGTTGGGGAAGCGCTGCCTCCATCTCAACGTCGTCCCCGACGTACGTCTCCTCATCGGCGAAGTCATGGTCTAGGAGTCGTTGGAGATCATCCTGCGTCGTTCTCAAAGCGAAGGCGGTGTCCAAGCTCCTCAGCACTTGCCATCCTCAGATGTTCAGGAGCGACGACGTAACACACCTCCCAGAGAATGAGACCCAAAAGTTAGGCCCCTCTCGTCCAATCACCACTGCAGGGCCATGCCATTCCCAATTCTTGTTGTTCTTTGGTTTCCGGTAGAAGAACACATGTGCTCCAACCTGAAGTTCGGGCCCAGCGACCCGTGAGCGCTGCAAAAGGGTGTGCGGAACCGTCGTTCTGGGACTTGAAGTAGGCCTCCTTGGCAGCTATCCGCAGAGTGTGCTCCCTAGCTCTCTGTCGATCTCGGCTGATGATGTGTCCACATGTTCATCCTGCGGACCATTCTTCAAATGTTCAGGTAGGTCAGGATCACGTCCCCATACAGCTTGTGACGGACTGAATCCGGTGTCCCTTCTCCGGGTGTTCATTGCGGAATTGACTGCGGTGAGGATCATCCCAGCCTCCCCAACATAGGCTGACTGGTCGTCGACCGCCCTGTTCCATGTCTCCTTCCATGTCCGGATGCATCTCTCTCCACAGAACCTTGTTGCCAGTGAGCTTGCCCCTCGATTGGCCTGATGAAAGTCCCATGCCATTCACTGAAACGTGCCAAGCCCTTCTGCAGTCCTGATTCGAGGTCGAGCACCATGGTTCCGGGAGCTCCAAAAGTGTTACTTCACACACTGCAGAACGTAGACTCCATGCAATGGCGAAGCGAGTGCGAAGCCCGTTCCGAGGTCGATCGCGGTCATGAGATCATATATGGTGAAGGCATCGACCGCCGCAACCTGGTTGAAGTCGAGGAGGTTTGGGAAACTTGCTGGCTTAGCGCTCCTGCCCCTCTTGTTCCTCGAGCAAATCTGGCAGTTGATCTTCTTGCAGGCTTCAATCGCAGAAGGATCAGCGCCTGCAAGCCTGAGATGCCTCGCGAGGTCAAGGTTGCCGGGGTGGCCCATATTCTGATGGAGGCGCCTAAGCGACGACTTCACTTCTGGTGGAATCTTCGTCTCACCCTCGTCCTCGAAGGTAATCGCCCCTGCTCCTTGTGCTTCTTCTCTTGCTTCGCTCTGGGATTCTGTGTGATTCTCGACAGCGTAGGTCTCGGACAGATACACAACGAGCTCCTCTATGTCCCCGGGGTCCGGCTCGATGAAAGCCCAGTTGGTGTGGTTGAAACGAACGAGGTCTGGTTCATCGGCGTGGACATCGTACAAGCCATCGTACTTGTCGTAGAGCTCGATCATGTCGTTGTGGGTCCAGAAAGGGTCACCGGGGTCGGCCTCGAATACCACCTTCCTTCCGAGATCGATGTAGCGATGGACACTCTCTGCGAACGTAGAGAAAAGATGTGAGATCGCCTTGCCGTGAATCCATAGGACTGCAGGTCTGAACTCCTCAAGGATCTCTTCAATGACTTCGACCTGAGGCTCATCGTGCTCTTCCGCGATGAAAGGTTCTGCCGTAAGGAAACCCATCTCGGCGACCTCGATCGACTTTGAGAAACCTCCAATCTCGTAGAGGCTAACGCCTTGTGGCCCCCTGGACATGGGGAAGATGCTCTGACTCCAGTTGACCGCGGCGAGGGTGCGCCAACTTGTGAGGGCTGCCAGTCGTGAGGCGCTCTTCCAAAGTGCTTTCCGCGAGCTCTTCTTGGGCCTGGTTGTCATAGAGAGGTTCGAGCCATCTCCAGGTTCACTTCGTTGAGGGACAGGGAGACCGCGTAAAGGAAAACGAAGATCTCGAAGTTCATCGCGGAGCCCTACATCCCCTGGACGGTATCCCCTCGTGGCAAAGCAGGAGAGGGGCCATCGTTCGCCGCTCCAAGGTTGAGTTGCGTGCTTCGTCTTCCCATCGAAGGAGACAGGGTTCATCCTGGTGCGGACAAGGTGTCCTTCATGGAGGTTGCCTTGGGTGTCCTCTCGAACCGCGCAAGCATCCCTTCCTCCGTCAGGGCTTCTTCCTTCCATCCAAAGCTCACCTTCGGAAAAGGGTCGGAAGGTCACGGCGGTCACCTCAGAGTTGGGGGGATTATGCACATCGGAGTGAATCTGTGTGGCGGCATTTTTGAAAAGGACGAAGGACGTCCAATCCCCTTTTGACTTCGATCGCATGAACAAGTTCACATATCTTGTGGTCCTGTGGTCCACGGGAGGCGCCTGCTGTCCCGAGAACTCAAAGGGATCTCGTTCACGACCTCCAAAAGGTCATCGTAGCTGGAGTCCTTGTTCATGAGCTTCTGCTTTGTGAGGCGATCACATCTTTCGCATTGTTCTTTGGCAGTGATGGTAACCTTCTCAGCCGCGAACGCCTCGGACTCATCCGCCATAGAGGGCTTACCGTCGGCCTCCACAGCTCATATCTCTGTTTCTCTCAAAAGAGACATAGTCGTCAAGAAAGTCGTCGTGGTTCCCCGCATCTTGATCTCCCTCATCTTTGAATCCAGGTCGCGCGTCGTTGCCCTCCGAGCACTCGTGGAACTCCTCGTCGTCGATCTTGTTGAGGTGTTTCTCTTCTTCATTCACATACCCTCCGGGCTCCTGGGGTTCAGACCGCGAAGGATGGCTAAGCGCTCCTCCAGGTGCATCATCTCGTCGTAGATCTCCGGCGGCAAGTCCTGATCCATTCGGCTGGGGGCAGAGCTCGCCACGGATCCCGGTCCCCGCTGTCTGCAAAATGTCTTGATTGGGGGACCTGAGAGAGTCCCCTTCGACTTCGAAATGCTTCCCGGGTAACTGCTTCGTGTCGCTAGGACTGCCCATGACCCCGAACTGCTCGTGTCCTCGACATAGGGGATGGTCGCGTTCTTTTCGGGATCCGGCGTTGGGTCTTCCCTCCAATCTCAGGTCGTTCCATAGGTGCTCCTGGATTGCCGACTTGATCTCCGCTGGAGTCCATCTCTCGTGCGCCTGGATGGTCCTGGCCGCTGCTTCCGCCAAAAAAAAGCTCCGCCTTGGTGAACTCCGAGAGGTTCTTGGGCCAGTTCAGCATCGGCTTCGTGAAGAGATCTCGCCGGCTCATGACAGGCGGGCGAAAGCGATGATGGTAATGAGGGCATGTGTCTCTTGCGAGTGAACACACTCCGGCCGACCCACAACATCGGAAAAGCGCTGTTGTCTTGCGCTCTGTCCCAGGTTCCATGTACTGTGGGGAAAGCACGGTGGTTCTTACAAGCTATCCCATGGATGGACCGAACTGCCCCGAGGCTCTTGAGGAGGAGTTCTTTATGCCGGAGATTCTGAGTGGCCCAATGCACAGGATTGAAGAACGATCGTCTAGGGATTACATGCACCCTGATCAGGTAGTCGGCATCTTCAATCCAAAAGTCATTGGAGATGTTGCTGTTACTCGGGAAAAACTCTCGTCAAGGAGCATGTTCTTAATGGCGGCACCAACCTTTTTGGGGAAGAACAAAGGTTCGTAGGCCTTATCTGATGTAGAAGACGCAGATGTTGGTGGAGGAATAGAGCGATTAGACACTGCGACCTCCTCTGAAACCACCATCCAGCTAGTCGAGCAAGCAAGGTTCCATGCCAACTTCAACCTCACCAAGACCTCCTTGATGTCGAGGAAAACCGCAACCTCCCTCGCCCCCAGAACTCGCGCTCTGCGTGTATCGCATGGAAGGCGAAAGGATCTGAAGCTCATTGTCCTCCCACCGCGAGCTGTTCGCAAGGTGAGCCTGAACAGGAACTGGCTCGATAGGAAAAGCCGGATGCCCCGTGTCTGTTATGGAGAGCTGCGTGTCATGAACTTCTAAAGCTTTGAAAGTGGCCCGATTCGCGCCGACGTCGATGATCATCCCCATCTTGGCCATGGCTCCTCGTGAGATGAGGAGAGGTACGTCTCCGTTCACCACAGCGACCTTCAGCACCACATGATGCAAGCCGAGCTTGAACCCCACGAGCACCCCGTAGTTCGCCACGAAGATCTTCGATGCGCCGAACTTGAAAGCTTCCTTGCAAGAAAGGAATTGGGGTTCGCCTCTCGCTGTCTGACTTCAGTGAGGTAACCATCCATCCATCCACATCCTGCGACTGACCTTGCACATGCGGTATCAGTGATACCGACGAGTCCTTTGCCGACGCGGTCTCCGATGTCCCAGGTCACATGAACAACGTGGCAAGGAAAGTTCGCCTTGGTTGAGTCCCTTGTCGCATGCCCGGCAGCACCACCCGAAGTACCCGAAGTCGCCGCCGTGGAGGTAGTGGTACTGCCCTGGTTGCTGCGACTCAGCGGATGCACGCTGTCGAGATGCCAGTGGCCCCTTCCCTTACACGCAGAGCAAAAACTGCGAGCCTTGGCAGCTTGTAGCTTCTCTGCAGCAAGGCGTTTGAGGCTTTCCGCATCACTTCCTCTGAGCTTTTCTGTCTCCCTGTGCCGTTGTTTTGCACTTTCATGGGTGAGGTACGCCTGGTTGAGCTCGCTAGCAACTTCTCCAGGCCCTCCTCGTGATCGCCATCGTGGTCCTCAAAGAAGGAGGGCTCCTCGAAGACAGCAACGTCAGCGCTGAAAGGTTTCCGGGTGGGCCATTCCTTCTTCGTGTTCCTCGTGGTGGTCTCCCATGGTTTCCTCATGCCCCTGTCGTGATTGCAAATCCTTGAGGACGTACTCGTTTCCAATCGAAGCCAAGAGGTTCAACTCAGCCTGCTCTTCGAGCCCCATTCTCTGCTTCTGCAAGCCTTGCGTAGGCCCTGTCAAACTCCGCCATGTAGTCACGGACCGACTGAGCAGGTTTGCGACGGAGCTTCCAGAAAAACTCGGAGAGACTGCGCCCCGCCTGAGTGATCTGGACGTCCAAGTATCTTGTGCCCAACCAATCAGGTAATCGACGCCCTCGCTGCTACCAAGGCGGTTCATGTCGAGTCGTTCAGCGTCCACCCAGGCCCGGTCGGTAAGGTGCTGGTACAGGGTGAGGCCCTGCTGGTCCTTGGACATTCTTGTCATCCTCCGCCACGCCGCAATCTGTCTCAGACATGAACGTGCGCCGCCAAAAGGATCACCTCGTCCCTCTGTAGAAGGTCCCCAACCGTCAGGAGGATCACGGCCATCATCTCGTGAGTGATGAGCATCACTGCAGGAATCTCGGCTTTCCCATTGTTCGGAGAAGGATTCTTTCGACTCTCGATCATGCCCTGCTCCGTCGCCTGATCCCATAGACCCTGTTGAGGTGGACTCCCAAGTCTTGCCCTTCTTCTTCGTGTCGTGGCCATCGTAGCGGTTCGAGTCACGAGCCCATCCCGATCGAGTCCACCACCCGTCGCCACCATCCCATGAACGACTCCATAGGCCGGTCGTCCATCCATCGTCTTGCCACGAGTTCCATGTGGCCCATCCTGACTTACTATCGCGAGTCTCCCCGTGAACATCATCAGGAGGGACCCTATCACCACTGTGGGGGCGAGTCGCATCACCGCCATCACTCTGCGGAGAATCGTCATCCGGTGCCGGTTCGCCGCCCCGACTCGTACTCGCATAGAAACTAGTGGCCGGCACACCCGAAGCCATAGCGAAGCTAGCAGGCCAACGGAAACCCTGGAGCACACGGGCTCCGCTACCAATCTAAAACTAGTCAAGGCCTCCCTTCCCAAGGCGTGCCTCTTCGCTGCATATGCTGCGACTTTTTGCCGTCAGCTCGGACCGAAACTCGTGCGCCTGCGGAAGAGAGTTATGGGGAGAGGAATGGGCTGAGCTAAGGTCTCCGGAAACCTTCGAGCTTTACACTAACCCCTAACCCCTCCCCTTTTCTCTCTTCAAGCGGCAGAGTTGTTCAGTCACACGTGGCGTCAGCCTTGTAGTGAAAAGCATTCTGTGCTCTGAATCATTTTGGAAAAGGCTGAGCAGTTCCAATCCGAACCTGCGATAGCTAAGGATTTCCGACACTTCTTCTGGTGTTTAGGAGCCGAGAGAATCCGAGAGAGCCAAGGGTTCTTGAGCCCAAGGCTGAAAGGCTACCCTTGGGCGGTTTGAGACTCGTAGCTTCTTTTCTACGGCTATAGAGCACCAGGAAGAGCGAGGTTGGATGCCGGCTTCCCAAAAAGAAGCAGTCGGAAGGCCCGAACCCCAAATTCCGGGCCTTGATCCACGAGCTTTCGAAGCCCCAAAGCCACGGGGCAAGGTTTGCGTCTTCTCCCTCACCGGCATTCAGATGCTGAGAAACAAAGCCACCCACCTGTTCTAGGGGCAGGACCCTCAGTCGATTGGGGTGTCGTTAGAATACTAGGCTTTTTAGAGGGGTTGTTCCCCAAACAATGTGTCAACACTAGAGGGGTTCCGACGTGAAGAGTCTACGAGGGTCGAGATCGGCGTTACACAGCGGCCCACCCGCTGCGGACCATGTTTTTGGAAGAGAGTCGCTCTCTCACCTTTGCGTGATTTGCGTGGGTGTGGCAGCGGACGCCATGGTCGAAACTGTCATCGGGCTTCTGGGTTCACGAAATGACTCTCGTCGCAGTCGCAGGTCTGGGCTCGCGAAATGTGAAACTGTCATCACTGTCATCGCTCTCTTGGACTTCTGCGCGCAAGACATGCGAAGCTGTCATCGCTTTTGTATGTATGGGCTCCCGAACTGCGAAACGGTTGTCACTTTTGAACTTCGGGGCTCGCGAATTGCGAAATTGTCGTCGCTTTTGGACGTCTGGGAGTCTGGGCTCACTCTCATCGCATTTTGTTCCCGACTCATCTCATCCGGCTGCCGCCTGCTGCGAGTCACACCCGACACTAGCCTGGATGCAGGTTACATCCTGCCAGCTGCGAATTGACTCATCTCGTGATTTGTATGGAGGTCTGCCGTGCGCCAAAGAATGTTGTCTGTAGCCATCCTTTGAGTCGTGGGCACGCGCTCGGGGGATTCGGTGCTGAAAGGTGGGCGGGGTTGGGTTGGCCTTGGCCACTTTCGGTCATTTTCCCCAGATTAAGTCACAGCGCCGCGGCGCTGGCAGCCGCCCCTCATGTGCAAAAGGCCTGGAACCTGTGAGCCCCCTACTGTAGATCTCCTAGTGCCCATCAAAGCCTAAAGCCAGACATCGTCGACAACGTTCAAGGTTCAAAGCAACACTTCAAAGCAACATGAACAAACCTTTGAGCGCCACTAAACCCCAGGCCAGCTCCCGCGCGAACAAGGCAACGTGCTTAAAGGCTTAGCGGATTCCATACATTGGTAGGCTCACCAGCTATGAGCCTAGATGATCGCCTAGCTGCCCTATATCAAACATGACGAGAGGCACTTGTTCACACACTTGCGAAGCATCCACCCTCAAGAGCAGCGAATCCCCGTGGCCTCTTGGGGGAGCTCTGAAACTGTGCCACGAAGCCTGTCCGCAAGGGTGTTAGATAGGATGACGCTGTAAGGGTCTTCGCGGTTTACACTCTGGAGGAAGAGGTTGAGCTACTTGCCAGGGATCTGATGGATTTCTTCATACTTCTTCCCAGCAGGCCTTGGAGGCCGAAAATGACCAGCCTTGCTCCGTGCAGCGGCCACGCAGCGGGCTGGAAAAAGAATGTGCGAAGTGAAAATACCTTTTTTCGTCTCAGCATCGTTGACTTTATTCCTTTCTGCTACGACCGGCTTGCAGGCAAGTATACCTCGCAGGCGTCGTCGCTGACCTGAGGGTATCGGCCCGACCCTACCCAAAACTCCTTTCGTCTCTGGTGGGTGCGATATCCGAGTGAGGACGATGCTCTGATCTCAGACTGATCAATATGCTCCGGAGGAAGTTGATTACTAACGTCTTATGGAGGTTTCTCGTGCGTATACGAGCAGCTCTCCTTTTTGCAGTGGCTGTACCGGAAGAAGTCGTAACAGTATCCCGCTTCCTTCAATATCCTCTTGGCATGTGTTGCCTGTGTGAGTCCTGTGGCTGTCGCATCTCTTTTTCTCAGGAGGTGGAGAAACATATTCCAACCCTGAACTCTGAAGGGGAACGTCAACGGACCGAGCACTCTATGTGGACCTTCCAGAATGTAATCAACTCATGTTTTGAATTTGGTTTCGGGGGTGCGGATAACAACTGCAGATGGAGCCATTTCTGCACAGCTCAAGCACAAGTTATTGCATGGTTGGTGAAGACTCGATGTGCGACAGCAAACTACGGAAAGCTCTCTTCTGCACTCAGCAGCTCCCGCATCTTGAATTCTTTCTGCATGGTCTAAACCCGGAGATGCATAGCTTGTACAATTCAAGACTGCACAGGTTGACAAGTGAAGGGGTTGGGGACAAGGACAGGGTTGAGTTCTAGCCACAAAATGCAGCAGACAGACCCGGTAGGCAAGGTACCCTACTACTAGTTACTGCTGCCCCTTGCCAGCGCACTGGCCTTTGAGCCTTGGTCGTAACAAGAGCGCGGGGGTTTTGAGGAGCGCTCGTTTTTAGGTGTTGGCTCTGAGTTGACAGAGAAGCTCCGCCTGAACAATGTCATTGGCAGCAACTACAGTAAGAACAACACTAACAATGACACGAGTTTTCAGCAACTAGTATAACCCGAGATTGTGATACAGGCAATGAGGCCACTGGCGGCCATGGGTGGGTTGTGAAGGGTATTTGCTTGTTGAGATTGGCTTGAATGCACCGAGGCCCTGATAACATGCAGACGAGCTCAAACTCGATTCAGATGCGACTGAGGACAGTATCCTGATTGCTTGAAGTCGGACAGCAGCTCACAGGATAAGCGGATGCCTTAATTCAACATGATGAAGGACAAGACTCACGGAACGACGCGATCCAATCGGGCCAGGAAACAACAGACCATGCTATGTCACAGTTGATGCACTGAAGCTAATGTTGGGCTGCATTCATAGGGCGCATGTGTGTGTGTGTGTGCTTGCGTGTGTGTGTGTGTGTGTGTGTGTGTGTGTGTGTGTGTGTGTGTGTGTGTGTGTGTGTGTGTGTGTGTGTGTGTGTGTGTGTGTGTGTGTGTGTGTGTGTGTGTGTGTGTGTGTGTGTGTGTGTGTGTGTGTGTGTGTGTGTGTGTGTGTGTGTGTGGTTGTGTGTTGTGTGTGTGTGTGTGTGTGTGTGTGTGTGTGTGTGTGTGTGTGTGTGTGTGTGTGTGTGTGTGGTGTGTGTGTGTGTGTGTGTGTGTGTGTGTGTGTGTGTGGGTGTGGGTGTGGGTGTGGGTGTGGGTGTGGGTGTGGGTGTGGGTGTGGGTGTGGGTGTGGGTGTGGGTGTGGGTGGGGGTGGGGGTGTGGGTGTGGGTGTGGGTGTGGGTGTGGGTGTGGGTGTGGGTGTGGGTGTGGGTGTGGGTGTGGGTGTGGGTGTGTGTGTGTGTGTGTGTGTGTGTGTGTGTGTGTGTGTGTTTTCTTCGGCTTTGGGGGGCTGGTTTCGAAGTAAGCCTCGTCGAGTTCTGAGCCCTTGGTATCCCCGAAAACCCAACCAAGCTAAGCAAGCTAAGGCTGTACATGGCCTGGTGGGATGATGGCAAGGGCAAGGGCTATAGCAAGGGAGAGAAGGCGCTCTCCAAAACTCTTGTCACTATCTTGCCGTGTCTGAACTTCAGGCATGCGACTTGGTGTTTAGGATTGTGCTTTCAACGTGTCCCTGTTTTGTCACAAGAAGCTTGCCTCTACAGCTGTGGTCTGTGAGGAGAGATCTGTCTGGCGTCTAGGGTGAGGGGGGGGCTTCTTGATCCGACCCAGAATCACAAGCCCCTGCAAACCCCGACACCCTATATCCCTCCCTTATCGTGTGCTGGCAGGGCTATTGGGAACGGCCCCCTTCAGGCCCAAGCAAAGCCCGGACCTCGGACTGAACAGCGAGACGAGTTTGTGTGTTCTTCGTGAGCTGGGAAGGGGGTAAGGGGTTTAGGATTTAAGGTTTAGGGCCGGGTACCTGCATTTACTGCTTAGGCGCTAGGGCTCCGGGAGATGTTCAGCATGGGCCCAGTCCCATTCAGCAAATGGGACATCCGAATAAACCGTTTACCTGAAACTACCGCAAGCTGGAAGTGCGGCCCTCCTCTGCGCAGTACAATATCGCATTGCGAAAGAAGAGTTGTGCACGAGACTGATACCTGAGCAGTTGCATGAGTGACTGTTTGATAAGGTTCCTGCACCGCAGTTTCAGCCAAGCTTTGGAAAGCAGAGCAGTGCCCAAAAAGCCTGTAGGTGCGTCGATGATCGAGCGATGTGCAGCTAGACTATCCATTGTCCACTGCTCTGTGCTTGAAAGATTGCGCTTTCAAGCCAAGCCTCTCTCAGCTTGCTTAGCACAACAAACAGACCAACAGAAGTTACCACGAGCGGCTGTCTCGTACTTGACCATGAGTTGAATCACTTGAAACAACGAAAGACCATCGACGACTTGCCGAACAGTCTCGCAAGGAAGTATTTGTTGACAAATTGTTCTGGGCTCCAATATGAACCCTTGCCGAGCCTGAGCACGGCATTGCAATTTTCCATTTTCGCAGTTACTTTCCATTCAATTCGATTGCGTTGTACGTTGGCAAAGCTGAGACTCTGAGACTGCAGCCGATGCCCCGGATCCAGGACACAACAGAACATGTCTTCATATTTCGTACTTGTGAGTTCATGACCCGCTGGAAAAAATTCTCAAGCTCTATAGAGTTCCAAAAGAACCGAGAATGCTCAGATCCCATTGACGATGGGGCTTGTTTACAAAGCCCAGGGCCTCCCCGACTACTACGGCGACGGCTATCATGGATATGGCCCCCCCCCGCCACCGTATCCCAGGACCGTCATTTCCGAGGGGAGGGGGAGGGAAGGAGCAGTTCAGGGTTTTGCTGTCTTGCTGCATCGGCTCGTGCCGGGTTATTTCGAGTAAAGTTCGAGGCTTGATTGAGATCTGATCACCCGACGAAAACTCATGTCAAGTTCTTGAGGGCTGGGGGGTTGTTTAGGCTTAACAGCTGGCGCAGCAACCACGACGTTTTCAAGAGCGTGCTACAGATAAAAAGCATAACCCACGAGAAATCCACCGAGCCACAAAGTAGTGACACCAAGAAAGGCGGCCATCAGCAGACCAAAGTTGAGATGCCTTAAATGCCTTAAAAGACACCCGAAAGCTTTCGGAGACTGCCTTCCTCGTCGCGAGGTCGCTGGGCTACGGAAAGGGTCTAACCGGTCCCAACGGCATGGGCCGGCCGCTCGCCTTGAAGAGAAGTTGGGTCCCTAATTAGGGTGGTTTCGGGTGTGGGATTGCTTCGGTTTAGAGTTAAGTTTCAGGGTGCTGCGGATTCAGCTCTGCTACTGTTTGCTTTCAGCATCGTCGTGCCTTCTCTTTGTAGTTTGGATGCTTCTCGACAAGTTTTGGCCTGCCTTGGACGTTGATCCCGTGTTTTGCCTCCGAGCTCCCAGGTTTGACCGTTGAGCACGTGCGGCTAAGGAATGTAAAAGAGATGTTATTTGCAACGGCTTGAAGGTGGCAGCCCTGCCATCATGGCGATTGATGCCTAAATGGCTGGCCCTCACACCTGCAGTCGACACTCTGTAGACGACCACCGTTTTGTGGGGCCGCAGGCCGCAGAGCTATGGCCAAGAAGCTGGGGCCAAAGGGGGTAAGGACCAGCTGCTTCCGAGTCTGAGTTTTGCGAGTGCAGTATTCAGCAGATGTTGTGTCTTTTTGTGCTGTCCAAGCTCAGGAGTGTCGCCTTAGTTGCACATCCTACGCAAATAGTTCTATTTGCAGGGCCGGACATTCTGCCACATTTCAGTACCCCAGTGTTGTGCTTGTTTCAATCCGAGAAAATCTAGTCCGTCAGCCATTACGCAAGAGTATCGGATGCTTCCGGGTTGAGGGTGGACATCGCGGCAGCTTTTTAGAAGCTTGGGGCATGCCATGCGTTTTGCCGGCCTCTGGTGAGCCAAACATACGTTCTCAACATCACAGCCGGAGGACTCCCAGCCAAGGCTCAGGAGACCGCCGAGCGATCCAGGCTTTTGAAGGGACCTCATTTCAGGGGAGATTTGCGAGGATTTTCGAGGAGAGCTGGGGGGCATTTGGGGGCCTTGCGGTTGAGAGTACGCAGGGTATGAGGATATGCGTAGGGGCGAATCAGAAGGTGATTGGAGGTTTAGTCTTAGCAGAACGCCAGGAAGCTCGAACTCCAGAGTGTAGGAGAAGGTGAGGATGCATTTCGGCAACCCAGAGCCCACGCGAAATCGTGTATCGTTGAACTGCCATGCGAGCTGCAGCTTTCAATGTCATTGCACTTCGATCTCAGACATTTCAATGGTTTGACCCTACAACACTCCCAACTTAGGATGCGCCCGCCCTCGCCCTAGTAGCAGTTGAAGAAAAGAAAGCTTGTAATTTGGAAATAGCAGCATCAGGAGCAGCAAAGGTAGCACCGGAAATAGCAGAAACGGGAGCAGAACAAGTAGCTTCGAGAAAGCCCAGACTGTAGCAGAAAGAAGCAGCGCCAGAAATGGCAGAATGCATTTGCCGGTCATCAAGACTGCAAGCACAAATTTGTGAGGAGAAGCTCTGAGTATTCATTCGCAGCTTCTTTAGACGAGCACAAACAGGAGCGCAAAAGCCACACCAGAAATAGTACACAAACAGGCCAGGATAAGCAGCACCAGAAATAGGAACAGAAAAGCTAGCACCAGACATAGCACAACACCAGAAGTAGCACAAATGGGAACAGAAAAGCTGGCACCAGAAATAGCACAAGCAGGAGCACAAAACGTAGAACCAGAAATACCAAAATGAAACAGACGCAGCGCAAGCTTTGAATCAGGACGTAGCCATTCTTTTTTCTTTTGCTGGTGCTTGTCATTGTGCTTCTGTTTGTTCTCACTGTTTGTAAGGCCCGGGATGTCCCAAGCTAAAGCCCTCAAACCTGCTTCTTGCTTGCAACATGCCCCTTTAACGTGCAATTTGCCGGCAGATTTAAAAGACATCCCGCCTCCGCCGCTGCCCGTGCGCATGGGCAAGTCAGGCACGGCAGCGGAACACTGCTGAGTACCGTCTTTGGTTTACCAGTTCTCCGTAGGGAACGAGGATTTGTGAATCAAGTGCTTTCTATCCCCCCAAAGAAGTCTTGAAGGGGTTATATAGGGTACCTAGTTCCGTTTTGCTGGATTTCAAGAAGAAGCAAAACAGGAAATCCTAGCCAAAGCCGCAACACCGTGGGGGGCACTCCTTCGTTCTCAGTGGACCAGAGGCCCATAGGCCATGTCAAGTAACCCCTGAAAACCCGACACTCCACATCCTGCACGTGTGTCCATGGGCAGCCACGGGCCCATGCCGGCAGAAGGCACTGCAACACCTACACAAGCAAGTGCAAACGATTTGTAAACATCGTGAGTGATGCGCGTCGACCGCCTCAGCCCAGCTTGACAGGCAGAAGCCGAGAATTCAACGAGGTTTCTGATTACCTGAACACAAAACGCCTGAAAACCACCTTGCAGATCGCTTGATGCTGCCTCTACGCTTGCCATCGCAGGTACTCGGCATGCCTTCGCCCAGTAGTGCTTGTGTAGCTTGGTCTGTACATGCTAGCACTAGCCTGTTAGGGTTCGGGCATTCCACTGTTGTTGGCCAGGAGCAAGCGCAATTCCAAGCGAGCCTTCCTTGTGAAGTCGTCAAAAACCATTTTTGTTTCACAACTTCGTGCCTTCGAAGCGTGCCAAAACCCTCGAAACGGTTGCAGTATACACGTCAACCAGCCAGCACTTCGCAAGGCCTTTGCAATGGCAGGCCAGAATGCCCAAAGAACAATAGAATTATCTGCGGACCTTTGACTTGCAGGCAGGGGCAAAAGGAAAGACAAAGAGCAAGCAGCAGAGAAGGGCGACATGCCCCGAGGTGCAGAGACTTGGCTAACTGTGCGGCGTTGCTTTGATTCCTCCTCAGCAAAGAGCCCAAAATGTCACCCCCCCCCCTTCCCCAAAACCAAAAGAATTGACCTTTGCTACCATGTTGGTAACTGCGTCCATCTTGCACATCGTTCTTGTAAGGAGAAGGACAGCAAAGAGATGCCAAAGCTGGGAAGCCCAAGCTTCAGCAGTTTCTTCGACAGGTTTGTAGGAGGGGCTTGAGTCGAGCTTTGGTGGACAATGCGCATGGCGGTTTAGCTTTGAAGGTGCTTTTGAAGCTTCTACATTGCCACTTAGGCTCGGTCAAGGCAAGATTGCATGTAAGAACCTCGCGCTGGGATCCTCTCGGTTAAGACACGACCTAAGCACCCTACCACAGCGCGGGCAGATTCGCGATTCATAGTGCGGCTTCAGCATAGGTTCATAGCTTAAATTGGGGGTGCTGCGTTGAACCTTGGCTGGACAATACAGTATGCAGAGAGCGCGCCGCGCTTTTCATTCTGAGGAGGAAGAGAGAAACCTATAACCCGGTATCGTTTTCAGCCATTCTTTACATTGTAACAAGCCGACCTAGGCCGTAGATTGGCTTCGTCGTTCCTCAGTTAGGTAGGTGGACGATTTCACCCAGCCCCAGGCAGAAGAGCAAGGATCCGCAGTGGAAGAGGAGACTTCTTGAGGGATCTGCCTTATCGTGGCCTTAGGGGTTGCGGATATATGGGCGGTCTGGTTCAAAGCTCTAAACACGAGAAGCTCCAGGTGGCATTGAAGCATAGTCCCGATCACTTCTGCAGGAAGGACGATTCAGGGAAGGAGCCCGCCACCCAGCTTGGCTTCAGGATTAGCGGGTAGAGTCGGGTCTAGAGAGGCCAAGGTACCCTCGATACAGTGAGAAGAAGTAGAGTGTGCGACAGCCTAAACTCCAAACCCAAAACCCGAAACTACCACTTGAACCCCACGGACTCCTAACTGAGGCAACAGCGGAACATGGATCTTAAGCTTTGTAAACCCTACATATCACGCCCTCGGCCGATTGGAGCTTGAGCAAAGGCCACAACGAGGCTCAGCCAGAGCTCGCGCCTTATTTTTGCTCAGCTGTACCGTAGAGGTCTTTCGGCCTCTTCTTTTGTCCCTCATTGCCCCAAACCCACAAAGCATGTTCATGGGTACTGAGCCATACAAGCTCAGAACCTGAAGAGTAAACCTTGAATCACCGCGGGGCAGCCTCCAACAAAGCACTGCGGAGACTCCATCGGCTAGATCTGGGGGGGGGGGGGGAAGCAAGGGGCTTTGTACCAAAGTATGCTGTGTTCTGCGGCCTTTGCTCAATCTGGCTTCCAGCTGCTAGGGTTCCTCTTGGCAAAGGCACAGATCAGAAAGGCACTGCAACCTGATGCTACTTCCAATCATGAACTCACGCAGGACACAGGGATTGAATATAGCCTGGCCTACAGACGATCTGGCTGTGACGCATTTAGGGTCTAACAGTCTTCCGACCTGCCGCGTGAACAATATGCACCGCATATCCTGCACAGGAAAAGATTGACGTCATGAGTGCCGAAGTGCGCGACGTTTCGCCTGCGCGCTTCAAAGAAGCACAGTATAGCCCAGTCGTCTTCCGAAGGCACCCCTCAAAGCTGGAGCTGATTTACTGCAGGGAACTCAAGCCTGGAACAACCCCAACTAGAGCTCTGAGGCCTTGATTGAATCACTGAACATCTAATCTCCTACAGCTCTCAAGGCTGTGAGTTGTGAACTCTCAACTACTTGACAATCCAGCCCTGAAGCCACGAATGTTCCGACTGATTTTTGCGTCTAGGAGTTGGAGGTCAGTTGAGATTCAGATGTTTCGGATTCAAGCGTTCAGGGTCTTTAAGTTGTTTTGTGTGCTGTTGTTGTTTCTTGTGTGGGTTCTTTTGAGTTGCAAGGCTTCAAAAATGGCGGGGGTCGAGTCATGTGTAGCAGCCAAGGACTTTGACACCAAAGCTCAGACTGGCTCGCTCGGTGCTGGATCCCTCCCCACTGACCTTGTACTCGCCCGTGAAACCCTGAACCACGAAACACCATCGGATTACTTTCTTCACCGCCAGGACAATCCTTACAGCCGGCTCATGGCGCTTGAAAGAATGGGCCCCTCGGTCAACAAGCGCCCCCGCCTTTCCAACCCCCCCCCTTCCCTTGGCCTGCGATTCTTCTAGTCGAATCTTGAAAATCCTCAGACTCAGGGTTCAGGTTCCGACTGCAGGATCACTTGTCCTTCAAGCTGCCTGCCAATCTGGGCTCGATGGGTTGTTAGAGCGGCTGTGCACGAGGCGTCGTGGAGGAGTACCAGAAAATCCGCCACTTCTCGGTGCTCATTGTGGGTGGACGCCACAGCTTGCAAACCTTGAAACCCAAACCCCTCAACTCCCCTCGAGCCCCAAGCCCCGTTGGCGGCGATCTGGGGTTGCTGAAGGCTTGGAACTGCCAGGGCGACTTGATCTCACTTGACAAACTTGAGAGCGTGCTGCAAGATGAGTCAAGGAAGGTACTGCCACCAAAAAGCTTGCCACAGTCCGACCTGCCAACGCGCGCGCAAAATCCGAACCGCGAACCTTGGCAAGCCCGAGTCGAGCTCCACAGCCCCAAGCCCAAGTCCTACAAACCCTGCAAGTAACGTCTTAATGTAAAGCCCTCACGCAGGTCACCCAAGCAGCTGAAGCCTTGGACCCCTCCCAGATGCCGAGGCATCGGAGGAGTTGGTTCCGTTGTGGCAGAGATGCTCACACGGTGTGGCATAGGTGCGCCGTCCACGCCTGTCCACGCTTTTCACTCTTCAGACTGAGGATGGGCGCTGGTCTCGGCAGTTTCGGGGTTGTTTTGTGTATTTTCTCGGAGGCGCAATTGGGTTTCGGGCTGCCAGTTTTAGTGCTGCAATGCGATCTTACACCCATAAGCCTCCAAGACGCTCGGCCATGCCGGTCTTAGCAAATGTGCAGCTGTGGGTAGATCTCGGCTCACTGTCCTCAGTCTGGACCCTAGGTTTTTGTTAGGGATAACCTGATGAGGTTTCTGAGCCATGAAGCCCACACGATGCTGTTATCTCTCAACGAGGGGCCCTTGATGTTAGATGGCACGCTGTTAGGAACGCATGGCGGAAGAAAAGTGAGCACCGAGGCGAAAGCAACTTGTGCGTGGTTTGAGAGAGTCGATACCGCCGGGGTTCACAGGTGGTAGCGGAGCTACTGAGGAGTGACGCTCGTGGCCTGGGAGGAGGACCTTCTTCGGGAGGAAGGGGAAACTCCAACCCCTCCAACGCTCCGACTGCTGAGGTCGGAAGTGGTGCCAGCTCAGGCACATTGAAAGATCGAGATCCTCCGCCACCGTATGACGGGAAGCACCTTGATCGTACCCAGGTGGATCAAGGAGCTGAAGCTTTGGATTCTTCGTCAGCTCTCTGGCACAGTTGGCCTGCACTGAGCGGAAGGACAGTCTGCTAAAAGCTTTGCGAGAACACTTTGAGCCGCGCGTGGAGGCCTCACTGCCTCAGGCCTTTGAGGAAGCCATCTATGGAGAGACTCGTGGAGCCAGGGAGGCCTTCGCGGAGTACGTGATCAGGATGGAGCAAGCCATGAAGGAGCTTGAGCGGAAGGAGGTCAAGATTCATGATCTGGTGGTTGGATATGTGATGTATCGACAGGCCAATCTGTCGACCGCGCAAGAGGATCAGATGATGACGTGAAGCGGAGGAATGGAGTCGAGCAAGAAAAAGGGCAGTCACTATCACAAAAAAGATGATGACGACTTGGAGCCACCCAGTCCTATGAGGGACTATGTCCAAGTGCAGTTACCCTACGAGTCCGAGCCATTCCAAAGGAAAGGGCAAAGGCAAAGGAAGTGGAAAAGGAGCCTATGCTGGCCCTCAAGAACAAGGAGTGTGTGAAGTTCACCAAGGATGGTCGCGCAAAGATCCATGCGGACGTGCTGAAGCTGAGGACGAGGTGCGCAATGCAGAATGGTTGGTCATTGGGCCAAGGAGGCAAGAACGCGCCCGATGATCGATGCCGCCGCCAGAGGATCTTTCTCCTCGTCATCGCATGGGTCAGGAATGTCAGGATGAACCAGAACCGGGTTCTTTGTACAAAGCCTCAGCGAGAATGGACAAGCCGCTGTGCTCGCGACCAGGCTCGAGAAAAAAGAGACCGCAACGTTTATGTCGAGTACCCCTACGTTTGGCAGCGTCGTGAGAGCCTTGTCTTTGAGCAAAATTTGAACTGTTGCAGAGGTGAGCGCAAGCGAGGTGAACAGTTAGAGATTCCCTTCGTTGGAGTGACGACAAGTGCCTGCGAAGGCATTGTTGACACCGCGGCGCAAGACGGCCTCATCGGCAAGGCTGTGCTTCTGAGGTTGGCAGCTGGAACAATCGAAAGCAAGCACGCGCTAGTGGATTTGGGGGCAAAGCTACAGTGATTGGCGTTGCAGAGGTACCAATTGGACTATGTGGAGTCAATGGCCTGATTGAGTTGACAGTTGTCGCCGATAATGTTCCACTGCTCTTCCACTGCTCTTGCCAATCAAGCTGCTGAAACACCTCATGGCGGTGGTCGACTTGGACAGCGACGTCTTGGAGCTTGACCCATGAAACAGTTGCAATGTCTTTTGAAGTTACTCAGTTTGCGCCAGAGGGTTGGTCCTTGCCGAAAGCCGCAGAGCAAGCCCAGTTGTCGCGTGAGGAATCTGTGCTGATCACCAGCGGGTTTTTGAACCACAGCATGGCGAAAGCTCCCATCACCTGCAACGGCGACAATGGCGTCTTGTTGGTCCATCGAATGCTTGCTCAGCGGGAGCAAGACGACCTGGTGATGGCAAGAAAGAACTCAGCTGGCCCGAAGCCGAAGAGCGCTGAGGAGATGGCGAATGATTGGAGAGAAGCTGGCCGACATGATGAAGCAAAGTGTTGGTTGACGGATGGCCACCGACCTCGATGCTCTTGACGATGACTTGGTGCCAGAACGATCGGCAGTGACTGCTCCTGGCGCCTGTCTCCTGATACGGCCTCCGCTCCGACTACCGAGGCACAGCAGAATGACACGCAGTGGCGATCCCAATGGTGGCATTGGGATGCGCTCTTGGTCCGCAACCTCCTGAAACGCCAACGCCGACTGGTGGGGAACCGCCGCTCACGATCCAGTCCCTGGGCTGGTCAGACGGGAGCTGGGGCTCCCTCGTACGCGGTCCTGTCCAATGCTGCGCCTCAGACATCAGCAAGAGACCGAGACTCTGCGGAGGATCTCTCACATATGTGAAGGATGCAGCGATCCTGGCGGAGTTCGATGAAGAACGAGGAGCCTGCAAACGAGGCTCAGCCAAGCGCAACAAGTCGGGACATCCAGCGCCGAGAGAGATGGATCGATCACTTGGAATGGCTGGAGCGAAGCCACGTGTGGTGAGATATGTGGCCCGAGACTTCAAGATTCCAGTTTGCGAGGCCAAGCCAAAGCCGAAGGCTGCAAGGCCGGCAGTGCTTCCGGAGTGCTACGAGCCTGGCAAAGTGGTCATTTTCTTGATGAGAGCTTTCCGGCACTCAACATGGTGGACTGGGGCACAGGATACCCGATGGTTGAGAGGCTCAAGAACACCGAATCGGACCACGCGTGGCGAACGTTTACGCATACCTGGGATCGAACCTTTGGAATCCCAGAACTCTTGATTGCCGACCTTGGAAATGAATCTCGTGGTCAGTTTGCTGAGATGGCGAGGAGCGAATGAAAAAGAACAAGGCGGTTGCGATCGCTCCTGACGACTCCAGCGAGGGTTGAAGCAGAGTTTGTGCATCGTGGATGCAAAGGCGCTCTGCGACCACCTGTCGAGCCTGTCGAGAGAAACAGCGGGTCCGTCCTAGGACAAACGTACTGGACTTGAGATCCAGGTGGCGAGGCAGAATATGAACTGGATCAATCGAAAGATTCGATGTGTGCCTCATCCCAAGATGATTGTGCGTGGCTTGACCAAGAAGAATGCTAACTTGGATGCGCTATACGATTTTCTGGACAGCGGAGAGTACCAGATTGTGAAAGAATGAGAGAGCTGTTCGAGGATACAATCGTAGATGAGCTTTCAAGAATGAAGTTCTGGGAGCTGAGGTTTCTGAGCCATGAAGCCCTTCTTGAAAGCATTGTGACACCGATGCTGTTATCTCTCAAAACGTAGGGGCCCCATGATGTTCGATGGCACGCTGTTACGAACGCATGGCAGAAGAAAAGTGAGCACCGAGGCGAAAGCCGTTTGTGCATGGTTTGAGAGAGTCGATACCGCCTGTGTTCACACCTGACATCGCACCATCTCGCACCCTAGAAGTGGCCGTGCAAAGGGTGAGAGCGCCTTTCGTGGTCGGCATCTCCAAGTCTACGAGTTGACGCTGAAATAGAGGCCCTTGCATAGACGGTATATAATGGGAGTGAGAGAGAGAGGAAGAACTTGTATCCGTGCTTCATTTAAACTGTCAATGCGGTGCGTTCGTTTCACTCCTTTACAATCTAAGTAGGCCATGACCATTGAAATTGCCATCGTAGGCTATTCAACCTACTCCACCATAGTCTGATCGCTGAAGCCTCACACTGTCAATACATGGTTTGGGGAGATCCAACATCACGGGGACATCAGGCGTTCTTTTCCTCTTGTTCCGCAACCTTGCAGCATCGGGAGTTCATCGATTAAGAAGTTGCCAATTTTTGACATGCCATGGAATCACCTCAATATAGATCAAGCCACTACGGCTGCGAAGAGGCGAAGAGGTCTGGGGCTCCAGAGTCTCGGGTGGGTAAGCTGAATTCCTGGTCGATGTAGGGAGCCACAGCAAAACTTCGTAGTTGGTTTTTGTCAGGGAAACTTCTCCTCTTCGACTACGACAAGGCATGCAGACCCTGGACCCATCTTAACCCGAGGCCTGATGTGGCAGCTTGTGAGGTCAAGCAAGCACATACCATCAGAGCGACTTACTTCCAGGAGCGCATCACACGGCCCAGCCTAGACAGGCTCACAGAGACCCCCGGAGGGGTTGAGCGTTATAACTACGGGTTTAAAAGATGATTCTGATTTTTCCAGGGCTGTCAGAGCAGAGAAAGCTTCGGAATCGAGCGCCAAAAGTTTCAACACTCAGGACTGCAAGCAAAACCAAACAAAGCAAGCAAAGAACTCTGCTACAGCTTAAAGCTTGGGGCGAAAAGGCCGAAGAAACGAAGGCCTAAACCTATGAAGCGTCGTGCTCTGTCAGGTCGAACTGGCGAACATGAACCGTTTATTCTTTCGACCGGAGCAGTCAGGCACAGGGCGCATGCTTGGAGTGTGAACACTGGCTTCTGGGCTGGAAAATGTTAAAGAGGTTAGGCTAAAGTGTCTGAGGGGGGTTCGAAAGGTCTAGCACCGCTAATTCGGAGTAAGTTGCTTAAAGCTTCGAGCTTGACAGTGAGGTCTTGGAGAAAGCCCGAAACTCCGAAACATCCCACCCGACATTTCCGGCTGCAGACTTTCGTAGCTACAAGAGCTTTCCGTACATCCTCTTTTGATACCAGTGGCTTCCTGCAGCGCAACTTGAGAACAGCTTGGGCCAAAGCCTTCAGTTGCAAAAAAGAGCGCCAACTCTGCGAGCGGATTTTGCAATTTTGGGAAACTCGCCGCGGGCACCTTGTTTTGCTAAACGAGGGTGGCTTTTTGTTGCTAGTCAAGTTGGAAAAGCTGCTGCTTAGAACTCGCCAAATCCGATGGTGCCGGCTTGTGGACACGGTGGAAACAGGCCTATCGAAAGTGGAGGCGTCCGTCCAGACGTGGCATTCTCAGCCTGAGGTGGCTTCGGGGGTTTCCCGGGGGGCAACCATCCACAAGGTCCACACGAATCTTCGATACCCAAGCTTGGGGGGGTAGGGCGGAGCCTTGGGGGTTTAGGCGTCGTTAGGGCGCTTTTCAGAGAATTGTGAGCCTAGTTCCTTGAATGTTTGAGCGGTTGTAGCCCTCAGACGGGTTGAACTTTGACTTGCCCCTGAAGGTGAGAAGGGCTGAGAGGGGTTGTGAGGGGTTGAATGGCTTCACGGTCTTGGGGTCCGGCGATCTTGCAGCACTTGCATGCTGGTAGTGGAGGTAGACAGCACGATGAGTCCGACAGAAACATCATGAGTCGACCCGTCTGCCTATAGTTCCCTCCACCTTGACTTACAACCTGCAACATGAGCACAACTTGCGGAAAAATCCGTATCCGAGGCACCCGAAGGCCGAAGAGACAGCGGTCCACCCAACGCCTGGAAATCACAACATATCCAAGCCAATCGAAATGACAAGAGGAATCTCCAGACAGGCCTGAGGACGCAAGGGGTCCAAGCGATACTCCATTTGCATAGCCGCATAGCCCAGAATGGCATGCAACCGATGCATTTTCCTGAATTGCGCGAAGGCCACCACACCAAACAGAACAACTCACGGAACAGAACTAAGAAAATCAGCCGGACATCTGCTGTGATCTTGTCACATATCCCCAAGGTCAACATTTGCGGGGTGCTAGGCAGCCTAGGGTTAAGGGCATCTTTGCTCCCGATGATCCCAAGGCTTCGGGCGATCAACCCTGATGTGGAGCGTTGAACCCAGCTTTGGGTTCAGGGTTTGGATTCTCGAGTTGGTTTGCAGAGCGGGGGTTTCAGGGGTAGAGGGTCTTGGATTTGAGGGTTTTGGCTGATTACTCAATCCATGCTGATTTCAGGCTGAGCCCCGCCATTCTGGCTCAGCGGGCGTGACGGTGTTGCTGTGTTGTCAAATGGCAGACGTAAGATCGCGGGGTTTGGCGTGCAGGCAAGGCAACTCGTGGGCACTCCGCATTCGCCTAGCGCCACTTCCATGAATGGCTAGACAGGAATCGGAAGAGGACTTGCCTAATTAGAGCTAAGGGAATGCGATGATGGTCGGAAAAGAAGATGCAATGATTGGAAACCCCTCGGGGTAGGGTAGCTCCTCACAGTCTTACTTCCCTTGAATGCAGTGGATGCAGCACAACATGTCAGGGCTCGGGCAGACACAGGCTGCAACCTTCCTCACAACCTCATGTGTGTGCCAAGCAAGAGCGTGTCACACCATGTTTAAACTGAACCCGCAAGGGGCCCGTTGGGGAGATGCCAGCAGACAGCCACTGTAAGCTGATGAGCGCGCTGCCCGCTGCCGACGTTGTCGCGCATGCTCCCAGCCAAGTACCGTTAAGTCAGAGATATACGCCTGATATGCGCTGCCCGGCAATCCGCTGAACAACATCCGTGGGGGCGTGTGCCCTCCTTTCCCAGTCGAAGATGCCCGAAAACGAGCCGAAGGTTATGCTTGTTTCTTTGATATAGCCACTGAAGATAGCAGAGTTGCTGACGTAAACCCTAGGGTTGTTCAAGAACTGCTGGAGAGTCTTGAGAACGTATGCCCCTGCAAGGTTCGAGGTTTTCAACCTGAATATCACATCGCCTGACAACTACGAGCTCCTGCCTCTTATTCGCAAAAAGAATGGCACGAAAGGGGAGAAAGAGGAGTTCAGGATTGGAGACCAGACTTAGAGCCCAACGTTGGTCTAAGTTTGGAAGTTTGAGACCGGGAGCGAACGCAAAGAAAAAAAGGTTTTTGACAAACAGGAAAGAGCAAATAGTCACGTGAGAGAATGCGGAAAGACAACCAGGAAGCAAGGAAGCAAGATGCGAAACAACCTGTAATCCTGGAAATCAGACCCTCACTGCACTATTGCAACTTGGCAAGTTCTCGCAGTGCTTGTGCAGCCGCCGCTTCCAAAACGCAAAGTCGAAGCAACAATCAAGAAGCCACGCCCCCCAGAAGCCTACTCAGCTCTTGTGTGTGCTGATTGAGATGAACGGGACAGCGAGCTCCATCACAAGTGCTGGATCGAAGTCCGAGATCGCAAAAAAATGACAGCCCCAACGAGCAGTTTTCTGTGCATGTAGCTACATCTATACAAGCAACTCGTGCAACCTGCAACGCAATTTTGCATCCCGCCGCAAAAACAGGCTGTGAAGGTTTCAGGCTGGTTTTATAGATCGTGCAGTCGACCATAGCTGATTCTCAATGATTGCCATATCCAGACAATCAGATATCGGGCCCTGGGCCCCGATTTTGCACCTGCCACAGGTTCCAGCCCCGGAAGCGGGGGTTTTATTGCTCAGTTTAAAGTGGGGGATGCTGAACGGGTTGGAGGTGTAATCTGGGAAGGCCAGCTGATCTTGACGAACTTATGTCTTGATGTGTTGGCTCAGGGCTCGTTCTGGCAGGGTGGCGTGGGAATAGGCTGAAAGATTGATCTGAGACTTGGTGCATAGTGGTTGTTCGCATCCAGTGCATCTCTTCTGACCGGGAGGCTCGATCGTATACAAGAGGGAGGCTTGGACGAGAAGCGTGTCGATCTCGTCTTGAGTTGCGCTCGGGACCCTGGCTATTGCTGAGCGCAGGGCTCCGCATTGTACCCTACACTTAGTGGTAACGACCAGTACTAAGAAGATCTGAGGGTACATGTCTCAACGTCCCCGTAACCAGCTAAATCACAAGCCCTGTGGGAAGGTATAAGCCCAGAGCTCTGGACACATAAAGAGATCTTAGGTTCGAAGGAGCTCTTTCCTCAGACCAACCTTAACCTCAAGACCACGGAAGGCCACCCAACAACTCTGTCAGGCTTCCGGACCACCTGAACCCCTTAACCGAAAACCGTGCAACCTCCAGCCTGCCATGCTCCGCAATTTTCTCAGCGAGCAAAAGGTGGACAACTATGCTGCCCGAATGACCATCAACCAGGCGCGAGTTGTTTCCGCAGGTCTTTGGGGGAGTCTGGGGGTAAAAGAGGATCCAGCGTTCTGACTCACAAGCCATGAAGCGCACGTTCACATGAGGTGCGGCCTGGCGGAGACTCAGTGAGGGCCAGAGGCTTGCGTTTCTGGTTGTACTTAGGCTTTTAAGCATGACGCCTTTCCCGTGCCAGATCGGAGTCCAATTAGATACCAAGCCCATCTCCTCGAGCTCAAGTGCATAAAAAGTTAACAGACCCCAACAGACCCCAACAGACCCAAACAAACATCCTCAACTTTCTAAACTTCTTAACCTGAAATCGGAAGCCTTCTGTCCCATGATGGCCCATGTCAGGCCTGCAATGAGCTCGGGCAGTGCGGGGCCTTGCTGGGTTCGGTTCTTTAGGATCTGGAAAAATCCGATTAAGTGTCCATGTCTTGGGGGGAGGTCTACATCTGTCGGGTTCCGAAAGTGGGGGTACCCTTTTTTGGGGGTCCCTTTAAGGGGATGCTACTCTCCTTGGGGTACAAAAGGGTATGTTGGGACATACTGATTTCTTTGTGGAGTGTTAGGGTGCCGGAATCATGGTTTTTGATACGAAAGCCTCTCAAGCCGGTTCTCTGAGATTGGAAGGCTTGGACAAATGACTGGTTCCAGGTGTCTGGACACCTCCTACAGCTGTGACAGAGGCCTCAACCGTTAAAAACCCCAAAGCTACCCCAAGCTTGAAAATACTCAACCTCCTGAATTTCCTGGACTCCGCCCAAATTCTTTTTTTTCTGGGGCCTTCTCAAGAGTCTTGGGTTTAGGCCTTTGCTCCGCAAGAGATCTGCTGGTTCCGGATGCTTCAGAATATGGGCTTAAGGGGTACAAGGCTGTGAATGGCTGTCATCTGGTTGATATCCGAAAATGCCTCCTGAGGATTTGGCTGGAGTCCGGCGTCTCAGAGAACGCTGTCGAGAGCTGAGACTTCTGACTGGAGCCCTGAAAGCCCTGTGGGCGTTTAGGAGCTCGAGGCCACAACCCATTCATGCCAAGGCTCATGAGGGGGAAGTGATCGCCCTAAGTGATTAGGTTTACGTGTATACGTGGCCGAACTAGCTGGGGGGCTTTGAATGTGTCAGGTCTCGGGCCACATCCAGACGATGATTCCTGGAAGGTGCGCAAGAGATCGCAGGTCTGTTTGAACGGGTTCTGTAGGTGCCCTCACTCAGGTCAGCACTTGGCGAACCGTCAGCAAGATTCCCAGTTCTGACACCCCGATTCTGGAGTCTACACTAGAAAGGCAAAGATCGATTCGCAAAACAAAATGCACAGAGCTGCTCGAAGCCTCCGCATGCTAAGCCTACAGCCTGCAGACCTCGCCACCAAAGCAAAACAGCTCAACAAAGCCCTCAAAGCTGAGAGCGTGTCGGTTCCAAATGTCAGTGACGAGTGAGTTGCGGATGTTTTTTTTTTGTTGTTGTCAAGGTTGAGCCTTTTCCTCGTCACATTCGGGTGCGGGGCGTTCAGGGTTTGGAGGCTTTGGGCTTAGTGTTTGTGATGAGAATTTAGGGGTTCTGGCTTGGGAGTTCGGCATTCAGATGCAAGCACATTTTTTCAGCTTGGCACAGCAGTCTTGGTCCGATGGCGTCTTTCAGTTGTGAGGTACGCCTGCTTCGAGTGTGCACCGCCAGCCGTGGTCGCAGGGGGCGGCGACGAGAATGCCATCAAGCGAGAGGCCGCGAGCAAAGTGGGGCTCGTTTCGTCTTCATTCCTCTCTCCTGACGTCAAAGCCCTGACACAACCCGAAGCCCATCTACGCCCCTAAGCCTCAGACCGAAATCGCAAGATCGCAAGAAAATTGCGAAATAACTCCCCCCCCCCCCCTTCAAGATGGCCCAAGTCGGTGTCCAGTACTCGAAGCCCATCTCCTCTCGGCCCTCCGCTTAAGATGTGACCTTCAGGATGACTAAGCCATACTAAGCCCAGAAAGCTCTAAGAGCTTAGACTCTGCCAAAGAAGACGAGCTCCCCCTTGTTGGAGGGCGTATGTGCGGCCTCCTTGCCCACAACAATGGGGATCACTGCTGGGCTTCTTGCGCAGGCGCTGGGAGTTTGGGAGTTTGGGTCAGAGGCTTTTTGGGGCCGCTAATTGGGGGGCTTGAGTTTGAGATGGTTTGAGTCTACAGCTCAAGCAGAGTTGCGGGTTTTTGGGGGTTCTGCGTGCTGCTCTTGAAGTACACCTGCTGGGCCGAAGCTCGGAAATCCCAACCTTGTTCCTCGGCTTTTGTGACGCGTGGCTTGGAGGATGTACCCGGGTCTGTACATATATAGGGGAGTTGTTGCTGTTCCTGACCTTGTGGTTCGCCGTCCACAGGCGAGACCATGAAGATGTGGCGACAAGATTAAATAAGGACAGTTCGAGGATGTTCGCGGTCTCTCACCTCGTCTCCACGAACCCTAAAGCGTAAACCCCAAGAGAAGCCGAATCATATCAGAGGCCACGCTGAAGCACCTACTGAAGTTCGGGACAGCTCTCACCTCGGTAAAAAGCCGTGGAACACGGAGAGTCCGCGATTCAAGGTTGGCAGTGTCCAGTTTTAAGGGTTTTGCTGTAGGGGTCTTGTGTTTTTTCTAGGTTCCGACTCTGGGTTTGTATAACTCATCCGAGAGCACCAGCGGACCCAAGATGTTTGCACCTTTGACTTGGAGGCTTACCCTGGATCATTGCGCTGCGCCTCTGCTGAAAACGGCCCAGCCTCACGACCCTTTGAAACACTCCAGAAACTCGCCATGGAAGCCATCCTATACAAACCCAACATACGCTCGAAATCTAAGTCCAGTCGACTTCTAAGTTGCCCCCCACAGGAGTAGAGCATCCCCCCATACACAACTCTGAGCAACAAAAAAAGCCTGAACCCTGATATCCTAAACACGACTCTGGCCACTGACCCAAAATAAAGAGAAGCACTCAGGTCTCGAACTTTTTGGGCTACGATGCTCTTGGCGATTTTTTCCCTTCGTGCCGCTTGCCGTGTCGGGTCTGGGTTTGTTGGTTTTGAGTTCATGCGTTTCGCACGGATGATTCGGGCCCACATTTGCCAAGAGCGGCGACAACGTGGTAACGTGGATTTGCCTATCTTTCACGGACCCCAAGCCTAAAACCACATATATGGCCCCTCGCATACCTCGCTCTTCCGGAGATTAAATAGAACTTCCGCTCTGATGCGCAAAAGCCCCAAACCTCTATTCAGTACGTTCTCAAGCGTGCTGAGTCTTTGAGCAATGGCGAAAGACAATCGTTGGGCCAGAATTCGCCATTTGTTTCTTCCAGGGGTGGGGTGTTGAGTGTAGTAAAGAGGCTTAGGGTGTTGGGTTCCGAGTTTGAGGCGGTTTGAGGTATAAAAAAAATTATGGCTGCGAGGGATTTAAGATATAGTGTCTTAAGGTTGAAAATTCAAGCATCTAGGGTGCAGGTTTGGGGTTTGCGGTGTGGGATTCTAGATGTCTCCTTGCGCGATCGTATGTGGCATGAAGTGCACTGAAACCGCGTAGAAACCCTTTGCTTTCGGGACATGAAGCCACTTCTGCACGCCTTGCTGACATGGCAACGTCCCCTGTTACACTGGGCCGGCCAAAACTGCCTTGAGAACTCAACTCTCTCTGTGTCCCATCCTGCATGAATCACGCCGGTAGTTCTTCAAGATTTCGATTTCGCAGCGCTGTGGACTGCCTGAATGGACCCCCTGATGCGGCAGGTACAGCATGGCTCCAAATCCCGAGTGTGGCAGTCGGCAGTGCAGGCAACCCTCTTCCGAGCGTTCTGGTATTTGGCTTGTGAGTGAGAGAGAGTGAGAGAGTGAGAGAGAGTGAGAGAGAGAGAGAGAGAGAGTCTTCAGTCATCCCCTATGCCCCCAAGAAAGAAAGAAAGAGTTGAAGACTCTTCATTGTGCTGGCACACCTAGAGGCAGAACTAGGGTAATTAGGGTTGCACGTGCTAAGTAGGCACCCCGTTGCCGTGTGATACAGTCCACTGCTGTCAGGCATGTGCTCTCACTCAGTTAACCCTACGCGTAGAGGAATATACTTGCGCCATGTGCGTTGCCTACATCACAAGCTCCACTTCACGACTGCATATCGCATTGGTAGGGCACGTTCCTGGTTGGGTACGTGCCTGCGTACATGTACTTTGACTGCGACGCTTTGAGCGGCGCTTCGGAGGATAGCGCTGAGCAGGGTGATGGGTTTGCCTCCGCCTTTGCGAGTGGCTCCCTCGGCGCCCGCTCGAATGAAAACGTACTTGGATCTGTGAGTGTGGGTCGCAGATGCAGGAGAGGCTCTCGGGGCGGCAAGCGGCAAGCATGCTTCCTCGGCCCACCCAGCCCCCCAGCCTGGCACCCCGTCGAGAAAAATGTTCAACAACTTGGCCGGAGGCGGCGACAGCAAGAATGGACAGATGACCCCGAGGACCATCACAGCCAGGGTTCAAGGGTGAGCGCATGTGGAGAAAGCGTGGAGCGTTTTTCAGTTCCCTTCTTGGGGACCCGGCAGTGATCGATTATCTAGACACCACCCATGCCTTGTGCTTAGGGATGTTGGGGCTGACTCCCTTGACTCACCTTCAGGTTTTGGGAGGTTTGGCGTCTGCTTCTGGGCTTCATTCCTTTGTAGGAATGTTCCGGCAGGTCCATATTTCAGAACAACGAATCAGCCCCGAAGTCTTACCGTGGATTTCATGCTTGCAGCTTTGGGGGTGAGGCCTGCGAGGAGTTCCTGTGTCGAGCCTCAGCCGTCAAACCCGCCCACCCTCCCTTCAAAAGCCTCTGAGCCTATTGCAGTCTCATTGCGGGACATTTTGCCACGCTTAACTTTAGCTTCTTGTCGTAGATTTTGCCCCGTCGGTGTCTCTAGAGATAACAGGGGTTCAACAGCAGGGAAAGGGCTGACAGTGATGACGCTCACAACAAACGCTCTCAACTCCAAACATCTCAAAGCGACTCCAAGATTCTCAATCAGTTCCGAAGAGTTTAAACGGAATTAAGAGCAAAAAAGGAGATGATGCGCAAGTATTGCCTTCCGGACGTGCCCGGGAATGCTAAGGCTCATTTCCGATTTATTTCCTTGGAGCGTGGGGCTGCGTTGGACTGTTGGAGGTACGGATTGCGGGGTGTTGTCTAGCGCTGAGCATCTTCTCAAGGCATGTGGGCCTTGTCTACTTGCTACCCAGCGGTTCTGCGGAAGCAAGGGCGCCCGTTGGAAGGGCGATAGTCCCAAGAAAAGGCGTAGGGCACATAGATTTTGGACGATGTTAGAGCATAGGATGCATTGGTGCAAAAGGTGCCACTGGCAGCTTGAGTGCATGGCATGTATCCCAGAACAACCTCCTTCATGATGGCGAATAATAGGCGAGAAAGCCAAAACTCTGCAAAAGTGTTTCGTGAGTCCATGAGTATCCTGCAACAGTTCCATGGGACAGTGAACTTGTCAAGAGTAGAAGTCTGGGGGAAGTGGTGGACTTTCCTGGAGTGCACTGGGCAAATCCCCATATATTCCACAGGAGCCAGAGATGAAAGAGGAGTCTGGTGCAGAGGCAGCTCTTCAGGGTCTTGAATCTTCAACCTGGAACCCTAAAGCCCACTCGATACCCTCAGCGCAAAGTCCTAATTCCTGATTTTTGAAACTAGGCTAACCCGGGTCTCACCATTAGCTCACCGCCTCAACCGATGAATCCGTGACCCCGCATGTGTCTCGGGCTTTGCCGGAACATCGGTCCGCAATAGTGGGTGCGTCGAAAGTCCATATCCTAAACCCCGAAATCCCAATCGACAAGACTGCAGAACTGCCTCGACCGCCGAAGCCCCCTGCGTCCAAATATTATCCGTGGCAGACTTGCAGTTCCTGACTTCAGATTCTGGCACGCAGCTTGCATCTTCTGCGAAACCCGCGCCCCCCATGAGTCCCATCACTCAAGACCCTATTCTGTCGCTGCCTGACAATCGGCAACCCCGCCTAAAACCCTCTTCTTACCTGCATCTCTCTCTCTCTCTCGCTCTCTCCCTCCCTCCTCTCTCTCTTCAGAACGGACCCTTGAACCTCAAACCCTGTGCCAGCTGCACCCTGACAATGAGTGGGGCATCGTCGTGGAAGGCTCCAACGAAGACACCGTGGCTTCCCCAGCTTTTTTCCTTTGCGGAGAAAGTAAGAAAAGTGTGCAGGTTTGTGGAGTTCCGGAGCGAAAGTGCTCGGGCTTGGTTTGGGGCCTCGGTTTGCAGGTCTTGTACTTGCAATCATGTCTTCTCACAATTTCTACAAAAGTGGCTGAGTCTGAATCGAACGTTCAAGAGTTTGGATTCTGAGCCCTCCCTAAGCCCTCCGAAGCACGACCTTCACAACACGGCTCATGCTCTCAGGCCCCAGAAAACAAGAAAGAAGACGTAGTCGTGGACACCAAGGCTGGCCGAGGAGGGGGTCCAAAAGTTGCGTAGTGAGGAAGTTTTACAGTAGGGCCCCTCGCAGACGATGTCTAGGGGCTGCTTGGAGTGGCCGGGCCTCATACTGCCAGGGACAACGTGTAGAGCATACGTTTAGTTTCTCAGAGGATACAGTGGGCTGCGGAACCTGAAACCTCTCGAGGCGATGGACTTCATTTTCCCGAGATCCCTAAACGCCCCACATTGAAACCACCCCCCCTGGCGAATCAGGGGGCTTCGGTGGCGGACCTCATGGCCTCCCTGAAATCCCTTGGGCAGCTGGGCTTCCAGTGGGTATTTTAACTCATCTTGGTTTAATTGACACCGAGGCCATCTTTTCCTTGAGAAACTCGAAAGTGGCAGAAATCAACCAAAGTCCTGTGCAGAGAGTCCCTAGGGCTCTCCAAGCATCGTCTTCCTTGGTAGAAAGGGGGAGGAAGAGGGGAGCTGTGGACACTGTAGACGGATGATGAGGGCAATTTTGGGTGAAGGGTTGGTTGGAGTGTTTGTGGTTTGCTGAAGTTTAGGCTTGGCGTGTTGTGGCGTTAGTATTGACATTTGGTCGTTGGTACAGAGATCCACGAGAGATCTACGTGTATGAGGCTGCATGCTATACAAGCATTGTAAACAATAATCTAAGCTAAGAACTAAGATAGTTCCAAAGAGCGAAATGAGAACTGACCCAACATGGGCAGAATCATTGCAAGCAGCAACTCGGAAGAGAACAATGAGGCTGCTTGACTTTTACATAACTATTGATGCATTTTGTCATTCTTGATTTTCCTACGGTTTCCATCTATCATCCTCTCAAGGTTATGTCCTCCTTGTTTCAGTCTGGGCCCAGCGTCCTTCACACAGATTTTATGAATGCAAGGGAAGCCTGCCTCAGCAGTCAAGGAGCAAGTAGGCATAGCATCGTGGAAACGAGACACGCTCACACCTCGAGACCAACTTGGCAAAGGGAAACGTGCAAATTGGGACGTCGGAGCATAATGGAGCATATACAGCACAGATGATTGGCACGAAGTCATGTTTTCACGTTGTGCAGCGTTCTTCAAAAACTTTGTGCTTTGCCATAATCATAAACCTGTGAATGGCTTAATTGGTGTCATTGGCTTGGGGCCGTCAGGCTAGGAAAGGGAAGATGATAAAGTTGGCCACTGAGGGCTGCAAAGCTTAGGATGTCTAGATGCGGTCAAGGCTCGCCTATGGGGTGCTGTCTTGTTCAGGGCGCGCACTGCGCGCGACCGAGGTTGAAGTCAAAACGCTCAATGCAGTCCGGAGCTCCCCTTGTTTCATGTCACCAATGCAAAGCGAAACACCAGGAAGCACACAGAACATAGCGACGAACTTAAGTAACTTAAGTTTTCGCCTGTTCTGTATGCAGCGCCGGCATGACGAAGTACGAGAAGTCAAAGCACGAGAAGGGCACCTTCTAGTTTGGACTTATGCTCATGTGCACAGTGACTGGTAGTGGTGGAGTAGAGCATCCCCCAGAAGCACAGCAAAAAACATCAAAATGCAGCACGCATGAGCTTTCTATGAGCTACATAATATGAGCTACATAAGCATTATCCGTCGAACATGGCTTTCTCGGCTTCTATCGGCATTGCAAGCCGCTCAACTCTTATCAAAGGCCTACCAATCCGAAGCCTGAAAGTTACAAGGCACCGCCTCCAACATGAAGATTTTTTGGGTCGACCTAAGGTGATGTCCGAAAACGCGCTGAGTCGAGACACTCCGTGGAGGCTTTGTGGATGCTGTTGCGGCTTTTTGCAGCTGCAGGCTTCCGAATTCCGCCGGATGATCAGCGCAAATCTGTTCAACAAAAATGCTGCCCGCAAGGCCTCCTCCTCTCGAAGACAATAGTCAAAGCAGTTTCGAGTCAGCGATCCTCAAGCAAAAATCTGAGAACCTGGTGTTCTTTGAGGTCTTTCAGTTGGTGAGGGGGGGTGTGTGTTCAGATATCCGAACCGCGACCCTCAGAAGACCCAGTTTAGGTCATCCGAAGACCCAAATCCCAAATCCCTACATGGCTTTTGTGTTCTGCCCCCCTTGAGCCTAAACCTAGATGCTCTTGGTGGAGCATTGCTGGTGGCGGCCAGTTGAGTTCGAGACATCGAGACACATTCCACAGCAACTCCTCCGCAAGTTGCGACTAAGCCTCCTGTATCCTTCCAGCTCCGTGCAGTGTGCAGAATTGTGCAGAAGGCAAATTTCGGCCAAAGCCTTTTAAGGTGCAGAGGCTGCATCAGCCTTTACAGCCTGGTACAGCCTTTGGTGTCAACTCTCATCATGAATCCAAAGGTATTGAACTACTTTAGCTTGCTGGCGTCGCAAATGCAACTGCCGCAGCCTGAGGAGCTTCACCGAAACTGTCCACTGGGCAAATACGTCTTGGCGTTCTACCCGGGGAGTGGATGCAGCCCAGAGAGGCCAGGTTGCTGGAGAAATGCGACCATAGCAGATGGACCTGGCCGTAAGGATGCCTACGTAACTGTGCTGTGGGCGGATGGTTCGACAGGCTTCCAGAGATTGCACGGCTCTTACGCCAAAAGGCAAGATACGAAGCGGCCATGCCTGCCTCCCTATGCAGTCACCCAATACACCCGCTGTGGAAGCCATGATTGCACGCATTTCCATGACCAGCTCGTGGATCTGCACTTGCTCAGGAATCCCACCGGCAAGTTGGATGGTTCTTTGGATTGTCTTGCAATCAAGTCCAGAAGTGCCTCTTGCCCAGCATTTCTAAAGCGCGTGTGCCCAGTGGCTTGTGCAGAAGCTGGGATAGTAGGTACAAGGAAGTGTGTATCACCCAAAAAGCTCCTTCAGCCGCTGCGGCGATTTGGAAAATGGAGATGGTATTCCCAACAGTATCAAGACGCAATTCTCCACTTCCTCTTCCTCTCACCTCTCCATGCGCTGCCACCTCGGCAAAGTGGTCCGCCATTCTACGTTGAGTTTGGCTTCCATGGTGTGCAGGACAGCAATTCGGAGTACTTGGCAAGGGCAGGTTGGCATGGTGTACGGTTCGACAGCACGCATCATCAGCCTGAAAGCAACCTTTATAGGGAGCACGTTTCACTCTTGAATGTCGTCGAGGTATTTGAAAAGTACCGGGTGCCATCGGATGTGGACTTTGTGTCAATCGACATTGATTCGTGTGACTTGTGGGTCTTCGCTGCGCTCGTGGCGCCTGAGACTCGCTTCCGTCCACGAGTCGTGCAAATCGAGATGAACCGGCATGACACGCTGGAGGTTGACAGGGTCTTGGATTGCAGCTTGGCCACACCTCCCTGGGAGATCTATCCGGGGGAGAAGGACGCAATTGACACGGTTTTCCCCCGCATCGAGGGTGCATCAGTTGCCTCAATTGCCAAGATTGGCAAGTGGAGAGGTTACTCTGTGGTGTATGTAGAGCCTTGCTACGATGTCTACCTAATCCGTTCAGATCTTGTCTGTCCTGGACAAGATCATACAACATTGGAGCCTTTCCGAAACTCCTTTGCCAGGCGCGGAGAGCAAGTCTGTGAGGATGGACATGAGTGGTACGCCATGAATGTTACCGAGGCTGAGGTCGATCGTTGGTCCATGAGCTCAGCCCAAATGATTCGGGAAATGGCTATGCAAGCTGCAAGAGAGCGGATTCAGCAATGATCCACGTCGAAATTGCTTTGATGTGCGCCAGCCATCGCCAGCCTGCAGTTCGAGCATTGACTTTTCGCGTCGTGGACCTCCCCAGCGACCTTCTCTCACCGCCCATAGCCAGGTTGAGTTGCCCGTGCATCCGCTGGAGAGCAAACATACTCAGTTTACAAAATTGTCAGCAAGAAAAGAGCAGCCTCCACATCTCAAGGCTCAGGGATTTTTGCAAGTATGTGGGATTGTTTGGACTCAAGAGTTCGATGGTAGTTGGAGTAGTGACATGCTTTAAGGCTTTAAGGAGGTTCAGGGCCACTTGGAGGTTCGCCGCCTCAAATTGGCTCCAGTCATCCACAAGATTCTGAAAGCGAAGGCTCACGCTGACAGATGCCACAGTCGAGCAAGCCTCATTTGGGGGGGGGGATGTTTGGATGGCGGGTGATCTGCAACTCTACATAAGGTCCTAAAACAACTTGAAACGGCTGTGTTTGGGGCATGCGTGAAGCGAGCGAGACAACGCCTTATTTGTGCTGCACAGAACGGCTGCAAGGGGATTCATGTGAGATGCCTATATCTGCTTCGGCTCCCCCAGCTGCTTAACTTGTTGCGCAGAAGTGTTTCGATTTGTGGGAATGCATGCTTACTTTTCTGGGATGCACAGAGTGCTTTGTTGATTAATGCACGAATGTGTTTTGTGCTCTGCTCCTCATCTTACTACCTTCGTATGCCCAATGGCAACCCCTGCCCCGCTGCACTGGAGCGAAACCTGAAATTTTGGTTTAAGAATGCTTCCTGCACCGGCTCGCGCGCTTGAGACCACAACGCTCGTGAGGGTCATCTTCGAAGAAAGGTGCATCGCGAAGCCGTCGTTTGTCTGGGGTCAAGGAGACTGCCATAGCCTTGAGATTTCTTCAGACGAAAGGATTCAGTAGCAAGAGCCTGTGGTCGCTGACTTGGGTCAAAACGAGTGCCTGGGCCTTGGGGGAGCTGATGTCAGTCTTCCAAGCCAATCTCCCAACTGGTGCGGCACCGCAGCCTGGATTTCCTGAGCTGGAGGAATGAGAACTGGGCGGGGACGGAGCTTGTTGCCACCTTTCCCTGACGTTTGCTCCTCCTCGTAATGTCAGCATCCTCACCGCAGTGGACTCACACGCATAGAGCTACCGTCCAAAGCCCTTGAGTGGGTGCGCTCAGAAGCCGAGCCGAGTCACCCATCCTGGTAGCTCATGGTAGCTGCAATCCCTGTATCCTCTGCTGTGGTCTGAATCTAAAGCTTGGAAGCCGAGACAAACCGTGTCTAATCTCCTCATTCGCTTCTCCCTGAGGTGAATCGTGGCTCAGTCATGAAATTGAAGTTGCGCTGCCTGCCATCATGTTGTCAGAGCTGGGTGCTGCTAGGTTCGGGGTTCGGGGTCAGCTTCGGGTAGGCCTAATCCTGGAGTTCAAGAGTTGGAGTATAGGATGGATGGTACAGTCTTATATATTGTAGCGTACACGCAGTACGTTCTTGCAACGCAATGGCCTCAAATCCATCGCGTGCGGACGAAGCACAAGTGGACATCGTGGAAGGACAAGGATGCTGGCGTCGGATGGAAACTCCGGATGCAGCACGTTGTAGTTCGGTACGTATCTGATACCGCTGAAAACTCGGGTTCTATTGACCATGACTTCTGTGCATCCAAGGAAACTGCAGCAGTTGTGGCATCATGGTTTGTTCTGAACATCACCATCGCAAGCTCAACAAAGTGGATTCTTGTACATGGCAGCATCTGCTTTCAGGGCAACCGTTGCACACAGTACCAATTCCCAGTGGCCATCACCGTCTTGCATATGATCTTTTCCTGGTTGCTGTGCAGACTGTACATCTTCAGCTTTCGCAAAGATTTGGCAGGAGAACGGATGGGGCTGATGCAGCAAGTGAATGAGATCATGCCGCTTTCACTATGCTTTGCCCTTTCTGTTGCGATGGGCAATCTGTCCTTAAAGTATATTTACCCTTCTTTCAATCAGATGTTGGGATCTATGTCGCCGCTGATAACAGTCCTGCTCGCTGTAATCTTGCAGCGAAGATCCTTCCCACTAAAGACTTGGCTGTCAATGCCGGTGATCTGTGTCGGACTTGCTGTTTGCAGTGCGAAGGAACTGAACTTCAATGCGCTTGGTGCGTTCTATGCCACTGGCGCCACTGTGCTGCGAGCTGTAAAGTCTCTCATACAAGGAAGGCTTTTGTCAACTTCACACAAGATGGATTCTGTTACATTGTTGTATTACATGGCGCCTTGGGCTGCCATCTGGCTCACAATCCTGATGCTGCTATTGGAGGGCAAGCAGCCAATTTCCTTGCTGGCAGTGGCAAGTTTCGAGCTGTCAGCGCCGGCCAGCGCAGGCGTATCTGGTGGTGGCCGCATGTTGTGCCTTCTTATGTTTTCGGGTCTGAATGCTTGCCTGCTGAACATCGCCAACTTTCTGGTAACTTCCTGACACTGCAAGTCCTTGGCAATGTCAAGAGCTGCTTGTCCATCGCCGTATCGGTCGCCATTTTCCAGAACACCCTGACTGTAGAACAGGCCTTTGGAGTGTGCACCTGCCTGATTCTAGATTCTTCAGTAGCTTTTACTTGTTTACATTTAGGAGGTTCTGATGCCGCGTCAGAAGTCAGAACGATTCTCGCACTTAGTTAAGTAAGTATGGTTTCCTTCACTGGGGAACGCTTGTCCCGAGAGCATTTGGAGCAGCGATTTATTCAACCTCACATCAATGAAACATCACGCCATGATGCATCCATCATCATCCATCCCGCCATCTGACAGGGGGTCTTAACTCAACCAACCCTACCGGATCCTGCTCATATGGGTCGTGGGACGATAAATTCCGCAAGTGAACAGTTGAAATTAGTTACGCATGTTGTCTATCGATTCACAAAGAGCGGCATGCGCTGCTGTTCACCAGACTATCTCAAGACTTGGCATGGGTGGGGGGGGTTGTGTGAAACGTCCCTCGTGTACATGCTTTTCTTGGCTTGGCTGATGAGATCATCAGGCCATAGTGTAGATGATGTTGGTTGTATGT